CGAGGCGTTGTCGTGGTGAAGGAGGATCCTACTGCGAGGTCGTTTCTCTCGAACTTTTTCCAAGACAAGTGGCAAACAATTGGTAGTGTACCATTCTGCAGAAACTGTTTTTTGATCCTCTAACACAATTGTTGCAAAATGACCTATCCTTCCAAAGAACGAGGCCACCATTTTTTTTCCCGCACTTCGATCTCTCTTCACTTTAGTTGGCAACTCCTCGAAAGGAAACACCCACTGAGCAGATTGTCTTTTGGTTTTAGGATCATAACAGTAAATCCAGTTTTCGTCACCTGTTAGTATGTCGAACACAGCATTTGAGTCACCTCCGTTAAATCTTTCAATCATTTTACGACACCAATCCACACGATGGAGTTTTTGAGCCTCAGTCAAATTATGAGGTATCCACCGGGCGCAAAGCTTCCTGACCGCTAAATGTTCGTGGAGGATTTTGTGCACTTGACTCATACCGATGCCTAAGCTTGTCCGAATCTGTTGATAGGTCACTCTTTTGTCAGTCTCTATCATACGCCGCACAACACAGATGTTATCTTCAGTCGTCGCCGTAGAAGGCCGTCCCTCACGTAAATCATCAGTGAGATTAGTGCGACCACGTTTAAACTCATTAAACCAGTTGTAAACAGTCGCACGAGATGGGGCTTCATCGTGAAAGGCCAATCGTAGTCTATCATAACTTTCTTGTTGACTTAAATGACATCGAAAGTCATAAAAAATCATTGCACGAAAATTTTCTCGTGTTAAATTCATGATGACGTGACACAGACAATTTTCAATTTGCCGCCAAATCGTAAAACAAATGACAAATGAATGAAATATATACTCAGTAATATTGGCAAAGAGTTATATTTTCAAATTTTAGAATTATTTTTTTATTATATTGTTTATAAGTGGCCAGTTCTAAGAACTTTCAGTTTGACCCTCGTAATTACTCGAAAACTATGAATTGCTCCAAATCAAGTCTAGAACAGTGACTCATATGTTTCTATTCTATTTGAAAAGTGAAAAATATTTATTACATTATCTCAGACAATATCATATACATATAGGTTTTGGAGACTGCTTTTAAGCAAATCTTTGCTTGTATATTTAATAAATAATATTCATTGTATTTATTACAGTACCTCGTACATGTTGCAGTACCTACATGAAATTATTAAACATGTATTTGGAGTCTAATTAGTTAGATAAATTTTCAATACACTTATGAAGACAACTTTATCTTAAATCAGATAGATAAACATCTTTATATTCTTTTCAAAGCTTCCTTATAGAGCTTGCAACTATTAAGTTTGGACAGCAAGATCATACGTTAGTACCTATACAATATACATAATCAGTTAAGATAGGAGTTTTGACCCTAATGCGAAATTCACTAAGTGTTTCATGTGGGTGTTACCTGTCATTGCGCCAGCGCATGGCTATCTAATCCCAGGACTAATACACTACCATTTACGGCCAACGGCGCGCCGTAGACGCATGTTGATGAATCATAAAATAGAAACATCACTCATGACATGACTAATTCTATTCCAAGCAGTAATCAAGACGTTACTGAATTCCATTAATTCGTAAAGAAACCTGTTATCTAAGGCATTGCAAAATTAAATTAAGCACGGCGGCTGAATGAAGTCGAATCTATAAATTTTCTTGAATGATCAAGATTTTAATATAGAATATCATGTATGAGTAGATTAGTACTTAGAATTTCTTTATAGCAATATTGAAAAGGACGCAAACATATTACGATGAATCATATAGCGTCCAATAATAATTATGCAAAACTTTCTGACAATCACCACCCGCAATAATGGTATATTTTATGTTTCGAATAAAACAACAAGTGTTTTTAAGGGACTTATTTATTTAACTTTAGCTGGTTCATTAAAGATATGAGGGTCTTCGACGTGGGTGCCATCAAGCACTATATTAAGTGACGCTAGTTTTACCGTCATCACCAACGTAAGATGTTTCACCTTCGACCACTAAGACACATGCTTAGCCCATCGACGGTTACACTATATGATCTCCTTCGTACACTACTCTGTTTTTTAGCTGTTACGTATCTAAGAGCGTACTGTCAATTTCATCGCGCACTTCCTCATGCTTCAATGTTGGTTCGCTCGCCGCCCTGCTAAAGTTACGGCCCCTGTTGTTGCTATGAAAATAAAACTTACCATTATATTAAGAATATTCACCAATTTTATTTAAAACTAAGAATACAGGAGTCAACAACGGCCAAATAAAAGAAGTGCCACTTATTACCCTGGGCTATACTTTAAATATACATATGGGGCTATACTTTAAATAGAAGTGCCTCTTATTATCCTGGGCTATACTTTAAATATTTTAAATAAGATTATTTAAAAATGAAGTTTTAACTCCCCAAAGCTTATGTCCTACATTCTATAATTACAAAATAACTTGGTAAATTAATTCTGTTGCGTGTTTTTCGAAACAAAAATTAAGCTAGAAATTATATTTTACTTATTTTAGTGATACTCATACCTGTAAGTAAAAGGAATTTCCTTAATTTCTCTAAATAGACACATTTCTTTTTAATTATGTGGATGAGGAAGCGAGGTGTTTCCTTAACAACCTTTTGACATTAAAATACTTGCAGATAGTACCTGACGAGTTGCATTTTGGAAAGAACAGAATATTTCTCACATGTTAAATATATAAATAGGATATATAATATATAAATAGATTTTATAAAAAAAAAAAAAACAAATATCAAACTGAAAAGGATTGTGATCGATTTTAAAATTAAACAATTGGGCCTCTGGTCTTTATTAATATTGGTTATAGTTTATTTATGAAACTTTTTTTATATTTAGTGTCAGCTTCAAGATAATAGGGCTGTAGACACCCTTTTATATTTTTATTTTATAAATATAGATGAAAGGTCCCATATAAAGGTACTATTCATCTAATACGTTGAAATTTAAAAATATAATAATTATCAAAAAAATAAAATACTTGTTTTTTCATAATTAATTTGAGCAATATTATTTATATAATAAATAATACGCATAAAAGTTGCATTGGAAAAAAATATATGTATTTATTTTCGTTTACTGTTTACTCCCGTTGTTGTAAGATGATGTATTGATTTGATGTAAATTAAAACTTCAACATCTGTTCGCTACTGACAAAGATACAAAAAAATACTTACACAGTCTGTAGAATTGCAAACTTTCTTCTTTTTTAAATTCGTTTAAAAATGTTTTTCTATTCTTAATAAAAAATACTTAAAAAATCCACTTTGTCCCTGGCACACTGAAATGGGACTCTAACCTATGATCTTTCGCAATCCGAGCGAATCACTGAGCTACCCAGGATCTAACAAGACTGACAAATTTTTCAAGCACTTGTTAGTTTTCGCTATTACTTAACGTATTTTCATCAATGTTCAGGCTCAAGCAGCCGAAAGAAATATTTTTTTAAATATTTCAATTTTCGATAAAGATTAAAATTTGTTCTAATTATTGTATTTGATTTATTTTGCATTCACAATGCTATACTGATTTAAGCGTTATCCATTAAGAATATTATTCAGTATAGCATTATAGCAAAATTTTCAAATATAATAATTTTTATCTAATTGTTTCTTAGTACTGAAACAATCTACTATTACTTATACATTTTATCTTTTTCTTACAATAATTATTCTTATAAATAGTAATCTTATATAGGTTTCCTGTTGATGTAATTCAATTGTAAACCAAATTAGAAGTTAAATGACTAATCATTCCTCAAAAATAACACTCAAAAAGACAATGACGATGTAGCCACTCGATTAATCATGTTCGTGCCAGCTATCATCATTAGCAATCATTATCATTTCCTTAATTTGAATTTCAATTTTGAACAAAAACTGCGTTCTTTTGTTTCCATTGGATTGCATATATCCAAGGATTTTTCACGTAGAAGGCGCTGCTATTATTAATAGGATAAAATTGGTGTTAGTAATAATACATTTCTAAATATAATTAATAATTTGCATCAATGAGAGCAAAACGTATTTACAAATTTATCAAAGCATGCGTTATCAATAAATATACCTAATAGAGCTAACTCTACATATTATGCATCCGATTACTGATGCATTTATTACTTAATGCATCCAATATTTACATTTGATTGTCTATCGACACCACTGAAATATTTATTCAAATCACAATGAACCGTAAAATAGTCTTGTGTGTCTTCAGATATATGAGCTAATAGGACTTATAGTTCACTAGAATCTTATAATAGGTTAATCTTTAATCGTTAATATAAAAGGTTAAATTATGTATGGCATTATAAGGCATTATTTTTGGTAATTTGTATACTTTGCCAATATGAACGAGAACAAAAGTATGTACAAAGTGTTTTTAAAATTGTGATAAAGTTCACATAATCATTTAACGGACGCATAAGAAAGGAATTAGAGAATTCTTTGTGTGATTGATAACCTTATGTTATAACCATACATGAATCGTCAAAATTGTAATGTAATTTGCGAGGTACAATTTTTTTCGAATTGACCTGCTACAAGTCTAACAAAATGAAAGGCCAAACTATATACCCTGAAAATTTAACAATATAAAGTTTAAAATCATTCACTTTGTACTAACTTATAACTGTACCCCTAGTCAAAGTAAACTCAATATTCTCTACACATCTACTTGAGTTGATACATTACCGTTTTCTGGGGAAATTTAGTGCCATTTTTCATCATTTGTAATTTATTTGGTCACAGTATTCGTATGCAAATAACTGTCTAGTCACCAACGTCATTGTTTGCCTGCTGATGTTACTAAGAGGTTTCTCAGACTAAAAACCCATTTTGCAGGAAGTTCCGTTTTAAAAATTTAGCCAAATAACTGTATTTACTGAATCAATTGCTTTGTTTTAAACAGTCCGTCTAATCACTCGTTCTATTTCCGTGTAGGTCCACAGTCAGCCCACGTCTCCTCCCGAGGTTACGAAGGTTTATGCAAATTTGTTGGTCGCAAAGTAATTGTTATTCCATGAGAACTCAATGACAAGCTACATAAATATTCCCCATGAATAAAACTGATGTCAATATTCATAAATATAACACCCATAACAGGATTGTAAGGCATTCGATAGCGGTTCACGTGAATAGTATACCATTGTGGTAAGAAATTTTCTTGAAGGTCGGTTCTGAAATGGGAAACCAAATACAAGTCAATCTTTATGTACTTCTAAAGGCACGTTGTTGGTCTCGGCTACATATGCATTAACTTGTCTAACTGATCCGCCTGGGCCGACGTATGTAGTGGGTTATTTATGGGCCGATGTAAACTATATCCATGTTACTATCCATGCTTGCGCAGTAATCACAACGGCAGTTACAAAATAAAACAATAATAATGATAATGATTTAGTACAACAACTTAAATTAATTTTTAAACTAAGATTTATTTAATTACCTTGATACAATCACGTAGGTATATGTAATTTCTCCCATATAACATAGTAATTGTAAACCTATAGATTTTTCTGTATTGCCACATTACGACCTTCGGGGCTCAGTTAACATCTATTGTTCATAAAATTACAAATCCCAACTAATTCATGGCAGAGTCCATTGTTTCTCGGAACAGAGTACCCGATTTTACGGTAATGCACACCGGGAGGCTGTCATCTTAACAAAAAAACTACGTACGTGATTGAGTCAATTAGCGACTTTTAAATTAAGAAAATGCCGTGTCTCGTTAATGCTCATTTAACGTCACGCGACCATAGTATTATTATACGAGTAATATTTATGGTAGAGTATTAAATTTGAAATCTAAAAACATTCATCGAATTAAGCTAAGCGCACACTGGAGATTTAATCGTGACTTGCTGTCACCGTGCTCTTGTCATGTAAATGTAAAAGTTACCTTATTAATCTTTTAAGGATAGTGGTGATTTTTTTGTAAGATATTGAAGGAATTATCAAAGGCAAGCATTAGACGCAAATATTAATTTGAAAGCTATTATGTCTTTGGCGGGTTTCGATAAGTTTTATTATATTTCTTGATCATTCAAATCATCACGTTACATAATCCCATAAATCGCTATCACAATCTCTACACTTGTGTAAGAGATTGCTATAGATTTTAAAATTAGAAAATTAGCCCACAGATTGCTATGCGTTTAAGTACGCGCGCCACCACAATGATTCTAAGTAATGGACAGGAGACAGAAAAACAAAATGACAAAAAGTCGCCAGTGCCTGCATTGCCTTATATTCATTTCATTAACTTGACGTCATCGCAATCCAATTTTACGACGTAAGCTGATAGTGGCTAACGACACATAATTACCATATATGTTTCTGAAATGTGAACGTTGTATTTTTGAGACTAGCAATATCCTCGGTTTTTCTTGCGTGATCAAAGAAAATGACTAAGTTTCCAGGTTAAAAGTAGTCTGTGTCACGCTGCAGACTCGAAATGAGTAACCAAAAATGTATTATCTCGATCTCTGTGCTTCATTAGGCACTCTAAGCCGTTGGTCCCAGCTGCATCTGCAGACGTTCACACCCACCAATCTGCACTGCGCCCGCACAGTGAATCACGGCTCAATCTCCCTAATCGATTCCATCACCATGATGACATTACATCATCATCATCACCACTAGCCTATTAATGTCTCTACTGCTGGAGCTTAGGCCTTCCCTATGGATGGAATCCCCTAAAATAAAATATAATAGGAAGAATAGGCCATGACCGTTTCGCGTTCCCAGTTCAGATTGATAGGTATTAAAAACTATAGAAGAAATCGGAATCAACGGCTTAACGTGTCATATGAAGCACGGAAGAATACGAGGTAATAATTTTTGATCACCCATCCTATGACCGGCCATTGCGAATTATCGCAGACCGAGTGCGCTAACCACTGCACCATCGAGCTTAACTTGACATGACAATAACAAAAACCAACAACTCTAAATATTTAGGACAATTGTTTGTAATACAAATAAATGGTTTGAAAAGCAATATACGTGTTTTTTAAAAAAGGGGTTCCTTCATCTGGTGCTTGATATTAGGGGCCCATAAACAAAAAAGGTTGCGAAACTCAGAACACGAGAGCTGTCTCAGATAATAATAAGTTTGCAAGTGTTTTCGGAAGATCTGAAATGTTAATTCCATTACTATGACAGCTTAAAAAATCTATACCTACTGTCCAACCAGCTTGACTGATTACATAACTGCTAATGACTTTGATATTTAAAAAATGCAGATTAGATATGAATCATCAATTAATTCAACAGTAATATATGAGTTTTGTGTGATTACACTGTGAACGAGACAAACTGCAATTTGTCTATCCAATTAATTTCTTGGATCTATAATTTGGTCATAAACTCATCTAGCCAATAATTATTTTAATAATAAACACATGGTACCCATTATCTTCATAGCCCTTGACACTCAATGGTAAATTAAAGGTTGCTGCAAACCAAACGTCAAACAATCCTTACTTCCCATACTACTGTCCAGACTTATGAATTCAAAATATGAGTTGTATGTGCTCTGAACAGGTCGTCAAGTAATACAAAGCTCAAATTTCTCCTCTTGATTATAAACCTTAAGGTATTGAGGGATAGAATTGAAATCAATTGTGATAATTTGCCATATTGTACGATTAGTAACCTGACACCAACAATCACTAACTTTCTACTGATTTTGTTGACAAAAATACTTCCAAATAAGTTATAATGAAAAATAAGTTAACTATTTCATCTTTCTAGGGGTTTTGTCACATCACAAATTATCACAAATCTACCCCTAGAAAATATCATCAGTACCTTTTTTACGTTTTAATCATGAGTACTTTTTTTAAAGAGAAAATTGATGAATATGCGAGTCACCTTATAGCCGAAATCTTTATTCTATATATCTTAACAGTAACCTTAATAGTTTATGTGTAATGAATCAAAACCTTTATTCATACGAAATAGGTACCGCTATCCTCTTTGTTATCAGTGAAGAGACATAATTTGTAATGTATTATTAAATCTGATGTTTTCTTTTTAACAGGTATGGGCTTGTGGAACGCTAGCTGCACTCGACGGCTACAGTGCTCAACAGGACCCTGATCAATTTCACATTCAGACTGACGAAGACGATGAAAGATACTTTCTCTACCAAACACATAATGGCCAGTATCGGAAGGAGAGGAGGCTAAAGGATGGCTCTGTTATTGGTCAGTATAATTATATTTAACCTTACTTCTATTATCAAGACAAATTAGGTTGTTAGCTTGGATTAAATAGGCTACAAAACTAACGGATCGATTTTAAAAATTTTTCGATAATTACTACGCAGAAGCTATATCATACGAGGGTGACATAAGCTATAATTTACACATGCGAATTTGTAAAGAAACATTTTAAATTTCTCAACTCAAATGTAAATATAGAAAGAAGAAAATACAATGATAGCATACAATATAAATACATATACTGTATACGAGGGTCAAACTGAAAGTTCTTAGAAAATCAAAAACTGATTACATTAGCCAGTTATTAGTTTTATTATATCTTTTCAAAATATTGTCCATTCACGTCAATACACCGCTGCATGCGATGGAACCACTGGGAAAAGCACTTTGCCCACTCGTCCTTAGGGGTCTCTTCAATGGCATCGCGATACGCAGCCACCGCTTCTTCAGCATTCATAAACCGCTTTCCTTTAAGTTTTTCTTTAATTTTTGGAAATAAATAAAAATCACAAGGCGCGAGGTCGGGGCTATACGGCGGGTGACCCAGTAATTCAACGTTTGATGTCGCCAAATAGTCGATCGTTCGCTTGGCGGTGTGCGACGAGGCGTTGTCGTGGTGAAGGAAGATCCTACTGCGAGGTCGTTTCTCTCGAACTTTTTCCAAGACAAGTGCCAAACAATTGGTAGTGTACCATTCTGCAGAAACTGTTTTTTGATCCTCTAACACAATTGTTGCAAAATGACCTATCCTTCCAAAGAACGAGGCCACCATTTTTTTTCCCGCACTTCGATCTCTCTTCACTTTAGTTGGCAACTCCTCGAAAGGAAACACCCACTGAGCAGATTGTCTTTTGGTTTTAGGATCATAACAGTAAATCCAGCTTTCGTCACCTGTTAGTATGTCGAACACAGCATTTGAGTCACCTCCGTTAAATCTTTCAATCATTTTACGACACCAATCCACACGATGGAGTTTTTGAGCCTCAGTCAAATTATGAGGTATCCACCGGGCGCAAAGCTTCCTGACCGCTAAATGTTCGTGGAGGATTTTGTGCACTTGACTCATACCGATGCCTAAGCTTGTCCGAATCTGTTGATAGGTCACTCTTTTGTCAGTCTCTATCATACGCCGCACAACACAGATGTTATCTTCAGTCGTCGCCGTAGAAGGCCGTCCCTCACGTAAATCATCAGTGAGATTAGTGCGACCACGTTTAAACTTATTAAACCAGTTGTAAACAGTCGCACGAGATGGGGCTTCATCGTGAAAGGCCAATCGTAGTCTATCATAACTTTCTTGTTGACTTAAATGACATCGAAAGTCATAAAAAATCATTGCACGAAAATTTTCTCGTGTTAAATTCATGATGACGTGACACAGACAATTTTCAATTTGCCGCCAAATCGTAAAACAAATGACAAATGAATGAAATATATACTCAGTAATATTGGCAAAGAGTTATATTTTCAAATTTTAGAATTATTTTTTTATTATATTGTTTATAAGTGGCCAGTTCTAAGAACTTTCAGTTTGACCCTCGTATATTTAAGAGTCATAACAGTGTAGTTATCCTGTTACGGCGCTGGTTATTCTGGCAAAACCTGTGTAATATCGTTTCTTTTCCAATCCAATTATCATAATAGACACATCATTTATCACTCTCGTGCTATTTATTTTTATATTGTATCCATTAATTGATATATATTAAACTAACAAAAAAATATAATTTCTAACATTTTGATATTAATATTTTCCAGGTACGACAGGATGGGTTGGAGCAGATGGATATCTTCGTCTTCAAGACTATATAGCTGATAATGAGGGCTACCGGATATACAAATCAAAAACTGTATATGTAGGACAAAACAGGCCAATTGGGGTATGATCTTTTTCACTAAGATTATTTAAAATTATTCTAACACATGTATCCTCTTTGCATGACATAACTTTTAAATCGAAAGGCATTAAATAACTTTATTTTTTGTTTATTTTGCAGGAATCAATAAAGATTGCAAAAACAGCACCAACAGATTCCGGTTTCGGTGTTACACCTGCGCCTCCAGTACAGCGCACGCGTGGTCCTCCACCTATTACTTCTACCACATTATCACCCCACCAGCCTTCATCAACACTCGCCCCACCACATTATCCTTCCGTAGTCTCTATCACTCCACCACCCAGATCATATTCTAGTCCATCATCGACTCCAAATGTCTATGTTTCTCCCAACTCTATTGACTCATCTACACCAAAATACGACTTCAGACCTATCACTGCAAGCGAAGCAACACCATCACCCAGCCCCTACGATTTTGACTCTTCAAACACAAACACCGTCGATGATGGCTACTACGCAAGCGATAGTAGACGATACGATGTGTTCAATCCAAATTCATACAGACATGCTGATGCATGGCTGCAAAAACAACAACCTTCAATACGAATCGGTGATGGTTATACTCCGCAATTTCCTGGATACGACGGTGTAGCGTTTAGACGTAATGGTTTTCGCTATTATCTACCCAAACAATATCACGAAGAAGAGTCGAGCTCGTCAAACGATAGAACGGGTAGTTTTGGATATGTCGATCCGTTTGGCATTCGCAGAGTAATCTATTACAATACAGTACCGGGCGAAGGCTTCCAGATTCGCAAAAACAACAGATATGTTGGCCATGATGCGACTCCATACGATCCGAGACCAGTGGATTAAAAGAAACATTCCTGTGGTCATTTAAGTTACCTAACTATTTATTATTAGAAAATTTATATTTCAAGTTATTGTATTTTAAGGAGACAAAACGACTTATATTAATCGAACGAAGCGAACTTCTTAGCCATTATTGACCAAGTGGATTATAATAGCGCACATAAATATTACTCGAGTGTTTAACATTTTTAATTAATTTCACAAATAAATTATTATAATAGTACTATTAAGTTCAGTGCCATTGTGCAATTATATAAAATAGTTTTAAGTAAAGATTACCTCGTTTATAGATCAGTCTCAAGTAGATATTTTTCTATTATAGCACTGAATGACGCGGTTAAACTATTCAAAATTAGCAACAAAATAAGGAAACTGGTCATTATGTCATTAATAAGCATCACTGTGAACGGACATTGAACTCAATATTAAGTTCAAATGATCTCTTTTTAAAGTTTGAGCGTAGGTGCTTAAGTATACATATAAGGACCTTTTTAAATAAATAATTGCATTAAAAAAAGAATGAAGGCTCGATTATACATTTTTATGTATTTTTTTGCTTTTATGAGCAATCAATATATTTATGACTTGGGGAAAATAGGGTAGATGACCCGCTTATGGCCATTCGACTCTTTTTGGCCTACAAAAGGCCATTTCAAATAACTGACACTAATACATATTACTTCACCGTGTTTGATCTTCTAAATATTATAAAATTATCATCATTGATAACTGTAATGTGTTTTAACTTCACTTTCTCGTCACTTTTAAAATGGCCAAAACTATGTCTTAATCTTAAAATAGCCAAAGCCGGGTCATCTGCTCTACGTTACGCACTATCCCTGCCACCTGGGCAGTGGGTATGCCTCTCATCAACTAACGGTCCAGCTCAATGGAGTAGTATTACCCACTAAAAACACTGGACATGACTCTCCCATGGGAGTGATATCCGGGAACATGAGCGTAATCGCCGGGCCATGTAGCAATCAACCCTGATTAAATTAAAACTTAAGAGAACAAGTTTGTACATATATAGCATTATACTTGGATTATTTGATCATATTTGAAAGCACCACATAATTATTTAAAAAATTGTTTGACAGAGATTCTAATTGTAACAAATTATTTCGAGCAGATTTGCCGATGAAGATTATTTCTGTGCCACTTTTATTCAAATTGTAAAATTGTCTTTCATATGTAAAAATTATAAATAACTAATAATTCAACATAACTTTGAGGTGAATGTTTCAAAGTTGCTGCGGATAACTTGTCATTTATTTTTAAACGACATTATTATTAAGAATGATGTCATTTTTCTAATGTCAACTTGTTGCAGTGACTCTCCTTGGGTATTATTTAAATTTGTACAATATAAAATAAGAAAATTTATAATTTATTTCACTGTGTAACTCCTAATATTTTTTCTGACATTGTATTTGCATTGTGTGTATAAGACTAATTGTTATTTAATTATTTTGTGTAATAAATTAATTGTTTTAACAACAAGTATTCATTATGTACAAAACCTATTTTTAAAAATTGGTAGGTACTTTCTAATAGATTATAAATCGATGTACTATTATTTATATGGAATTTTAAGTCAATTCGCAATAATAAAAACGCAAACCTGCCAAATAATTACATTGTTTATTAATATTACGAAATTAGTTCGCTTATTTATAAATCGAAACACAGAAGACAATTGTCTCAGTGTACGCTCTTCTACGAAAAGGTAAAGATCTAAATGATTTTTAAAATAAGTTGTGCCAGCATTGCTATTTGTATTGTATAATACAGAGGGTGTTTATGTGATGAGTGAGAAAAAGAAACTCAAATATTTCGATGCCATTACATTCCTTTATTCCTCTTGGTCAATCGACTGCAGAACTAATTTAAACTTATGCTAGATGATTATTTACTATCGGAATTTTCTAAAATAGTTGATTTTTGTAGTCAACAATTATTAATTACAATATCTTAATTTATTATCTGGAAGTAATGTTCAGCACAATACTTACCTTTAATTTGTGTTAATTTTTGCAGACAATGTGGAGCCTCGTCGGTAGTTTGCTGTTTGCAACAGCAGTTTTTGCCCAACAATATGATCAGCGTACAACCAATGTACCAATGGATTTTAAAGATGACATTTACAACAGAGATATGCGAGGCCCGACCCCAGATCGTCTAGTCTTCAATTTCGAGCAGAGGCGAATTGACCAACCCCCACAATTCGAAATGAGAGACGAAAATCTAAGACAGTATATGGGACGTCCAAGAACGACACCTGCGCCATTGCCACCAGCACAATACCCTTTACCAGTAACACATCATCACCCCCTTACAAACGTTCCACTGAAGCCTGTAGATCCTAAACTATTGGGACCAAATGGTTCTCATTTACCAGCGACATTACCTCCCGCGCCAAATATGCCCAAATGGATGGACTTATCTGATACCAGTTTCAAGAATCAACAGCACCACGTACCTAACAGGCACCTTACAGGGTATTACGAACCAAGTTTCCCGACCCAACAGCAGCCTGAACAAGGTATGTCCGCGGAAGACTTCGTACGCCCAAAAGAAAGAGGTAACCACAAGTTCAATTGGGCCGATGTGACAGTTACTCCACAAGTTGTTTCCACGACTACAGTAGCCACCGTTCCAATCAAAAGTAATAATCCCCCAGCGTCTTTTCCCACTTTGTCCCCCTGGCATGGTGATCGTTTCGGCAAATGAATTTAACAATGGACATAAGAATTAAATATAAGTAATTTTAAATAAATCATGAGTCTACTTATACAGTTATTTGATTTATTATTCTACGGCTTTATAAACCCAGCTTTCACTATATATACTATTCCAAAGAACTCAATTCTGCTAAAGTCAACAACTTATTCGCATCTCAATAATTTGAATTTTGTCATTATACTATTTGAAGCTCAATTGGTGCAACGTTTTCATGAAATCAATTGTTATTTCGTGTTCTATAAAAAGGACTGTGCCTAAAACTTGTTATTGAAACACCATTGACTCTCCATATTACCGTAATTATTTAGACATTACTAAGCTAGGTTTTCTTCAGTCAGGTATATTACACAAAATGTTGGAACTAGAACTTCATTATAAAGCAATACTCTACTATTTAACAGTACTATTTAACATTTTTTTATGACTTCACATTTAATATTTTATTTATCCTTGTTGAATAAAAAAATAACTCTGTATGCTTTTGCATCCTTATGAACCTTAAAATAAATTACCTACGCATGAACTCCGACACTGTTCTGCTATTCAAAGAAACACTTACTGCGTGTCGTGTTTCGTAAGTCTCTGAGGACATGAATTTGTAGAAGATGCGACTTCATCTATATCTAAGGTTATATCTGTATATCATCCTATTTCAGCATACATATAGCATTTACTTGAATAAGTTTGAAGTCGGTTCTATTTCTTTTATTTTTTTGTAAAGTTTTTATTTCATGCTGTTCCGTAACGAAACAGATGATTGATAATTAACTATAAAAGACAACACAACTGTGGATAAATTTTTTTATTGTCTATGGGCAAGGCGATTAGCTGTTTTCGTTCCAAATCCCCACCCTTATTCCCTGGGTGACGGTTTTTTACTGTGAATTCAAATTGCTAACTGCGCGCACCTAATTTCGATTGGACATTAATAATAAGGACATTTCGGAAGAACGGTGGATCAGTGCCTATGGACTATATATCGTGTATGATATCTTCGCTGGTAACCGCGTCGACGCACCCCGTTCCAGAACCTAGCCCTCGGAACCCGTGGCGGTAAAGGATCGCTTGCGGTGAGTCGCCAACCCCTGCTTAATATCGTACACATGCTTTTCAGTAATATTGATTTTTACATAATAATTAACACTAAAAATATTAAATAATCCCCACGCCCGTGTGTTCCCTAGGGAACTGTTTATTTGGATATCGATTCATATCATAACACATGACACGGATATCCTACTATGGGATTGTAAATGAATTCAAAAGACGTTCTTTTGTTTTTCTAATCCCTAAAAACAGCAAATAAAGGGATAAAAAATCAAAAGAACGTATTTTGAATTCATTTACAATCCCATAGTAGGATTGTCTATGCTCAAGGAGTATGTAATTTTTTTATGAAAGTAATTATGTCAATAGATTTCTTCTCGAATTGTGAACCAATTTCTATCAAACTAGCTGTTCCCCGAACTCCCGATTGGCGGGATTATCGGCGAACATACAATAAAAAACATACATCGCCGTCGAACATAGAACCTCCCTTTTTAGGATTTTGAAATCGGTTCAAAAGATCTTACTTAGCCTTTGAGCACGTGGAAAAAGGCAGAGGTAGCCAATTTGTAAGTTCACAAGAAAATAAAAAAGTTGCTTTCAACGTCGTTTAATTATTTTGTAACATCACATATTTCTTTGGCGTAGGCACTCAGTTTGCTCTGTTGTATAAATCTGCTGTTTATAATAATTTCTCTAATTCTTGTCAAGTATGCGTACTCGTGAGGTACCAACTATATAAGGTATATCTGCTGTTGGTACTAACGTCCTTGTTTTTGGGAAGAAAGAAGGCAAGCTAAATGGGAAATTGATAGTGGGTAAAGTAATGTGAGGGAATGAGGGTCGGTTGGCCCACAAGTTAGTGATGAATTCGGGGAGTTTTGGGCCATCCAGCTCAACAACTACGGGTTTCTTTGACTCGTCTTCTGTTTTTTCTTCTTCACTATATTTTTCATTCTCTTCTCCGTCTTCTTTTTCTTTGGACTCAATCACTTCCTCGTCCTCTTTATCTATAGGTTCAATCACTTCCCCAATTACTTCTTCTTCTTTTACCTCCTCGCCTTTCCACTGTCCTTCTTCTTCTTTTAACTCCTCGTCTTTCCACTGTCCTTCTTCTTCTTTAACCTCCTCGCCTTTATACTGTCCATCGTCATATTTTTCAAGGTTTTCCTCTTCTTTATCTTCTTCGAGTCTCCAATCGCCTTCTTTGAACTCTTCAATGGTGACTTCCTTAACTGAAGATAATGGGTCCAATTTAGGTGCCTCAGGTATACCTGGTACTAATTTTTCATCTGCCTCTACTATTGCTACTTTTGGATAATACGGGAATGACATAGGGTACTCAAAAGCAGTTCTAGGCATATAAAATGTGGGATGAGCCAAAGCTCCCAACGCTAAGCATAACACTCCGAGGAACAACATCTGTAACAAAAAAAAATTATATATTCTAATATATAATATTGAAAATCAGATATTAAAATAGAAATGTACGTATATATAATATAATAGACGGACATACCTTTGTTGTCAACTGGAATACAATAGAGATGTAGAGACAGATTTCATCTTTATATAGTGAACAAAATCTCTTAAAATAATTATAAAAATAATCTAAAACAAATCAGCGTAGATGGATATCTAATATATACATATTTCAAAGTAATTAGTGGTTCTATTGTCTATCACTATTATAAATGTGACATTACTATTTTTGTGAACTATTATTCTAGCTTTTGAGTGTACATCATTGTCGTAACCCAATTTACGCTATTCAAATGAGCACATATTTACTAACAAATCATCATTAAAAATTTAGTATTTCTTAGTAAAGATCACAAGACAAGCATAATGGTTAGTAAATTCATTGTGAGATCGCAGCAGTTCAGGAACTTACTGGTCTTCGGAGGGTGACCATATGAATTCAAGATTCATGAAATACTAGCTTGTTTTCCCGTTACTTCGCCCCCGTAAATTATAACGGATTTTCGGAGTTGAATTGAATCAAAAATTATTTGTTGTTGGCTGACTTTTATTTGTTTAACCGTATTGTAGAACGGCTCGCTAGTCCAATGCGGATTGGAGGGTATTAACTCTCCTTCAAATGCAGACGGGACCAACAGCTTAACGTGCTTTCCGGAGCAAGTATTAGCTCAAGATAATATATTTTTGGTAAGTATCTGTTAAAAAGATGTTAATATGTAATAATATAAGGGGCCTGATGATGGAACTGACCATGAGAACTTTATACTTAAGTCTTTACAAGACCTTAAGTCCAAGATATATCTATTAGCAAAATAAAATTTGTTATAAAAAATTTATTATTTTTTCATAATATTGGTAAATCATATTTCTTTTATAATATATTTCCTACGTAATAGAACAAAAATAATAATAATAAAAGTTCTATCAGTTTAAAAATTGTATTGTTATCCAGCAGTCACTATTTAAAATTGACCTTTATAAATCATTTTATAAATATGAATAATTCTTTTTGACGAAATTAAATACACAAATGCATTTACCCTACACAAAACTTATATAAAGTAATAATAATCACCAATCAAAATAACAATCATAAAAATCAACATATTTAAGTTTGAATTTGAGTGCCTCCCGGTATGTAAAAAGTGGACGTGAGTGTGTGTGTGAGAGAGAGTGTGTGAGTTGAGAGAAAAAATATTTTTTATACCAAGATCCAAAGAAAGTTAAGTCGAACAACGGCAAATTACCGCCACGGCAATAACAGCATCAGTAGATGATAAGAATAAAATTAGATATTAGAATATAGATATTAGATTACAACAATCTTTCGGTTTCCTCATAGCTTAAATTTTTAATGGTTCTATAACAGCCGACTTACAGCTACCATTGATAAAAATTTATTCAATGATCAGCATTGGATAAATTTTTATGAATTTATTTACCTTTTTGTATAAGAACGGAGCTAAATAACATTGATGTTTATTGCATCACGAATGCTTAAACCTAGGCAACTTGACTGTGAAACGGCGACGTAGGCTGCTTGTACGTATTTGCGTTGAAATTTAGTTTCGAGTGGTATGTTAAGACTGCATGCAGGATAAATAATTGGCGGACTGAAAGGACTTTGCATAGTTGATAAAGATCGCGCGTTGGGAACGAAAAGGAGCGGAAAGTGTTCACTTTTAACACAGCCCTTTGAGCCCGTTCCAACTGTATCAAAGAATCCTTAGTTGTACCACCCCAAACTTCTAGGTTGAATGGGCGTAGAACTATTTTGTAATTATTCCAAAACTTCAGACATAATATGAAACAATAAAACTTCATTTCAGAATAAATAAAATTTATTATACCTATCATTGACTATTACTCTACTAACGTATAAAATAAAATGTTACGCTGCCACTACTGCCGCAGGTTCTATTACTCTAAAACCCTCCAAATCAGCCATATACTTGGTGCTATAAGATTTGCCGTCTGCCCCAATGTAAGAGACTTCACCTTCTACGGCCATTACGTGATCTTTTCCATCAGCAGTAGGTATCAGATATCCTCGTTCGGAGACAAATGTGCCCTCTGCCGTATAATATCTTAGAGCGTATTGGCCGAAATCATCGTGGATTTCTTCATGGTGAAGAGCTGGTAGCCGGCTGGCAATCGAAGAACTAACAGCGATGACGAAGAAAAGTGCCACGAACTGTAATATGAAAAAACTAATAAATAAATGTGAAACAAAAAGCTTCTGAAAATGTAAGATTGTAGAATTAATTTTATTTTTACAAAATCAAGGGTGGACTGGAATGGTAAATCCTTCATTTTTTTTATCAAATATCAATAAAGTGTAGTTAAGTTTAATATTTTTCATTTCATACTCATTCAGTACCTTATTCATTGTTGGTTTTGAGTTTTTACTTCTGTATTGTTCTATGTACTTCACGAAAATGATAGCGTTACGATAACTCACCTATCTTAAATAGGAATAATTTTAGGTATCTGTAACAGGTTGACTCGTGATTACGACGTTCCTATTAGTTAAATTACTCCTTCTATTAAATGATAATAAGTATGAAAATTATAATGAAGCTAATTAACTTTTAGTTTAAAATTCAGATCTCGACCAACTAGTTAGAATGTTTTTAATAATTAAATAACATAATATATATTGACGTAATTTTTCTTTCAATATCATTTAGAGGCAACCAATAGACTAATAAACATGGTAAGTTCGTAGATAAAAAAAAATCTGTTTTGTTTAATATTAGTAGAACTTTTTTGCAAGGATGTATATGGTAATCCTACAAAATTTCCAAATATGAAATAAAAGTTAGTCAAATAAACAATACAGTATGTATAATAGAATAAAATACCATTGTTCATTATATAATGCAAATATATAATGCATATAAATTATATACCATTTTATAATAAGCTGTTATTTATAGAGCCAGTCATAGATTTCCTTTTGCTGTGTTTAATAAATTTGCTTACTTATATTTTTTGCAGATTTTACCAGGAGCGCTTCTGTTCTTTTTGGGAACATTAGTGTCTGCCAGCCCATTCCTGCCATCTCTGCCAACGGAGATAGTAGTAAATAAACACAAACATGAATTACCTGATAAAGTAAAGATTTTGTCATCTTCGAGTGGTTCAGCTTTAATAGAAAATTACATTCAACAAGGGACCAATATTTTCTTCAAGCCGCAATTCTTATTATCGTCAGACAAATTACCACCGCAACTGCAACCTATTATCGCTGCTATTGAAAAAGATGATTGTAAAAAAGCTTACCCTTTAGTTACTCCTGTGGTAATTGATGAACCACTTCGTGTAGTAGAAAAGGAAATCAGTGAATTTGGTACCGAAATTGAACATATAACAGAAGTCAAGCCAGCACCATATGTTGATGTACCCAAACCAGTTGCACCAGTAATAATGGAAGATATCAAACCACTGATTATCTCAGAACTACCAAAACCACCGCATCCTGAACTTGCACTAATCGTAAAAGAACCATTAATGCATCACTTTGTTACGGATATCAAAGAAGAGATTCCTCCAGCGCCCATACTACCACCAATCGAACTTCCAAAATTACCAGTATTATTCGAAGAAGCTCCACCAAAACCTGTTTTAGTGGAAATTGAAGAAGAACAAGAAATTAAAGTACCGGTGGTGATTCCTCCTGGTCCAGTTTTACCACCAATGGAGATGCCAAAATTACCCGTATTATTCGAAGAAGCTCAACCAAAACCTGATTTGGTGGAAATTGAAGAAGAAAAGGAAATTAAAGTACCGGTAGTGATTCCTCCTGGCCCAGTTTTACCACCAATGGAGATGCCAAAATTACCTGTATTAGTTGAAGAAATTCCGCTGCCACATGAGGACCATCCTGTTTCACCCATCATTGTTAAAGAAGAGGAGCCGGAACATATCGAAGAACTAGTTGTAGTCCCTCCTGCTCCTATATTGCCTCCAATTGAGTTGCCAAAGTTACCTGTTGTGTTAGAAGAAACCCCATTAATTCATGAATTACCATCGCCTGTCATCGTTGAAAAAGTCGAAGAGCATATACAAAATATACCACCTGCACCAGTACTGCTGCCTTTAGAAGTGCCAAAAGTATCAGTAGTAATGGAGGAACATAACATTGAGTCTACAAAAGTTGAGGTTCCTTGTGAACCAGAAAAACCAAAAGTAGTAATTCATGAGATGCAACATCCCATATACATTGAACAAAATCGTTTCCTTCTTCCTGCAATGCCACATACTGAAACATCAAAATTTACTGTGGAAATTCCTAGAGTACCATCTCTAATTTCTTCAATTCCAGATTTCAATAAGAATAAACACTGTGTAGATGATATAGTAGTAGAACGCATATTACCTAAAATGAGAAAGGATATTATATATGAAAGGTCAGGTCCATATTTAACTCCTTTCTTATAAAACATATGCCTATTATGTCATTTTATTAGCAAATTAATTTAAAAGTAGGTAATTCAAATTAATAAATAATATTACAATTTTAAGTATTTTTTTCTATACTTATTAAATAACCCTATTAAACTATGTTTCATCATCATCAGCCTATTACAATCACTAATACTGAGATACAGCTCATCCCTATGGATAGAATTGCCATGACCTACGTGCCCGTGCGTAATGCGGATTGATATAAACGAGTGCAGATTTAGCTGGGACCAACAGCTTAAAATGCCTTCTGAAGCACGCAGGAGCTCGAGAAAATAAAATGTTGGTACCTCCTCGTTGCAGACTGAAAGCGCTAACCACAGCGCCATCAAACTCTTTTTTATTAATCACACTATGCAACAAATTAAAAAAAATCTTTTACTATTTTTACAATATGTAATATATGTATATGATGAAATTTATACTAATATTATAAACAGGAAAATTTGATTGATGGCTTGCATCGAATTAGCTTCAACACTATTGAACCTATTTTATAAATTCTTTCACCTACGGGAACCTACATTATACATGGATGACATAAGTTATTATTTAAGCCGGCTAAATCACAAAAAAACTGTAAATAATACAGTTACATCACGATACATTAAGTGAGGAAAAGCATTAATTGATTTTCACGTTACATTTAGTGATGAAAAGCATTAATCATAAATGTCCATTATTAAAATTTAGTTCAAAACTTAATTTGAATGATTGCTTTTTTTTTAATTTTGTTGTTAGTAGTTACAGTATCCCTCTGGATAACCATAGCATGCAAGCACGATTGGTTCCCATCTTCCCTGAACGGATTTTTCACATTAAGCAACTTCTGGATGAATATATTCTTCGTTATCACTTATTGCATCCAAATTTTTAATACGAAATACAAGAGTGTAATAATGGATTTTTAACGGCATTTTACATCAGAGTTTGTAATGAATGATTATTGATTATTTTTTTCATGGAAATCTGGTGATTTATGTTTATCAAGGTTTATGACGTCGACAAAAACTATATCATGCATTATTTTCCATGTATGGAATGAAATATGGAAATGAAAAATGAAAATTGTCTTTTAATAAGGATAATGACTTATTTTTGTTGTTTTGTACGTCGGGTAGATTATTGAAGAATATTAATCACGTAATTTTCGTAATCAATAAATTACTGCGATACATTGAGTTGAAGTGTCATACGACGTCATGCTTTTGTACATTTTCTACAAAACTGTGACGTACGAGCGTCCATTTCTCAATTCTTATGCCTATTATCTAAGCCATTTCTTGTTTAAATTGGAGCAAAAAAATACGTATCAATTTTTTTTTATTGTCTGACTGATGGATTGAATAGTTTTTTTTTACCCGGTCGTTATTGCTATTGTTTTGGTATAAAAGTCCAATTCAGTAGAAGACCCCGCTTCGTTCTTTTCTATCAATGAATAAACTCGACGAATTGAATCTTTCGTGAAGATCCAGCAAGTATATTAGGAAGCATAATAAGAGCACGCGTACACCAACCCATCCACAATAATCATTAACTTTCAATTCATTTTGTACAGAACAGTAACGTCCAAATAAACTGTAATTCAAGATGAAAAACTTCATTTCATAAGGGTTCTGTCATAGCCAAAGGTGAATTTAAAAAATTTACACGATATAGCACTTCAACATTATAATTCCGTTGTAATTCGCTATCCAGTTTATTTTTGTCCAGAGAGTATTTTAACTTTATGACCTTTTTAAAAATTAACAATATTACTTAGTCTTAATAAAAAAAAAATATTTAGATCATTTCTTCGGTAAGCGCCCCATATTCTGGTATGTAACTATTATATTTAAAATGCTAGTCGAATATAGAAACGTATAAATGGACGAATCAGAGCCAATTTAAACCAACATTTGGAAAATTGAGACTTAGCACTTATTGGAGTTAGCCTGAAATTAACTATGCCGTTATATTTGTTGGCCTGCTATATAGATTATTTATTTAGAAGTATTTATCAAATTATTCAGTATTTATATTAATATATTTATTTGTTGTAAATTTATCCGTGTCAGGTTTATTTACTAGGTATATTTCAAGTATATTTTAGGTCAGATATATATTATTAATCAATATTTACACTATTAATCAATAATATTTACAAAATTTTAAACTACTTATCTATGCTATGATTAAAACTATAATAGATAAAAAATATCCAAACTAGTTCTTGGAGCGAGGTACAAACCAGCCTTCTGCCCTGCGATTCTGTGTACGGATGGCGTTGGGGAGATGTATTGAAAACACCAGGTTGATATTAAGACTGTCATTTATTAATAATGTAATTGATTATATAGGAGTGATTATATGGTTACTATTATAGTATACGTATCTTACCTTACATCCCCATGGAAGGGGAAAACAAAACAAAATTAGTAAATACAATATTTTAGTTTTGTTTTTTAAATGCATTACATAAATCTTTATTCAATTACATACGATTACAATGTTTGTTTACATTCTAAGATTATAGGTTTTATCTATATAGTATACCTATTGTATATATGATACGCTAATGTTGACTTATCTAGAACTAATAACAACAACAAAGTATACTTTTAGCTTACATTATGATAACAGATTTATATATTTGGTTCTAAATATAGTTTAGTTCTATTTTTATGAATAATGTCAATTTTTCCTTTTTTTTAAATTTCTACATTTGGTGATAAGTCTCTTATCACAGGATATGGACCTGAATATAAGCTTTGCAATTTATTTCCCGTCTCGTTTTTAATTAAAATTAAATCATTATGTCTATATTTGATAGGATTTATATTACAATCATATTTATGTTTTCTTTTTAATTTGCTATATATTAAATTCTTGCGTGCTTCTTTTTGTGTTGTTTGGATTCTATACTTTAATTCTAAGGGATACGAGTCAAAATTATAAAGCGGATCGACAAGATCTTGTGACAAATTAGATGGTAAAATACATCGTTTCCCGAAAACTAATTCGTACGGTGTGAAACCCGTTTCACTATGGACAGAGGTATTAAAAGAAAAATTCCAAAATGGTAACCATGAACTCCATGTATATGGACGATTTTCCGTTTGTATTCTTAAATAGTTACCTAAAACTTTGTGCGTATTTTCAAGAGCACCAATGGTTTGATGATGATAAGCAGTTGACAATAATTTCTTGATATTAAGAAGTTTACATACCTCTGCGAATACTGCTGATGTGAACTCCGTACCCCGATCTGTGGCGATTACCTGTGGTATTCCATACACTAATATACATTTTTCTACAAACTGTTTCGCAATTTCTGTAGCACTTTTTGTTAATAAGGGACAGGTTATAACATATTTACTTAATTCACATTGAATTGTTAATATATATGAGTAATTCAAATTATCTCTTTCTAAAGGTCCTACGGTATCAATAAATATTTTTTCAAAAGCCGAGTTAGCCGTTGTCGTGATTTCCATTGGTTCTTTTACATATTTACTTGTATGTTTTTGTTTTTGACATTTATCACAACGTTTTACAAACTTTTCTATATCGTTGATTAATCCCGGTCAAAAATAATATTTTCTTATATTATTAAACATTCGCCTGATGCCTGCGTGGCCACTCGTAGGCAAGAGGTGAAAATCGTTTAAAATAACTTTTCTATCATCTTTATTTTCAATTTTCGTTACATTTTTCAATACACATAATCGTGGTCCGGACCATTTACTTTTTCTAGTAATTTCTTTCGTTAGCTTCTCTATAAAAATATAATTATTTTTATTTTTTAAAAAATATATTTCTTCCACTTTAATTTCACTACACATAACATTCAGTTCTCTCGCAAAAGCGCTTGGCGTCGGTTGCGATCGAGCAACTGGTTTTATATAAATTATTCTTTTCGAAGGAACATAACATAACATAGAGCTTTCATTTTTTATTTCATTTGATTTTCGTAATTGTGTTAAACCTAAGTTGTCTATAAACTGTAATTCTACAGAATCGTCCGGTTTGTTATATATTTCTAAGACTTTTGGTTGATCAGACCGATTGTCATCAGGAACAATAACATCCCTTGGATTCTCATTTAATTTCCTACTCTGTGCTCGCGTCATAACATTCATACATTCACTCAAATCTTTCAAGTCTTTCGATGTTACACACAACCTAGACAACGCGTCTGCAGCCGCATTATCTTTGCCTTTCACGTACTCTACCGTAAAATCGTACTCTTCTAATGTCATTCTAAATTTCATTAACCGACTGGATGGGTCTTTCATACCGAAAAGATAAACAAGTGGTTTGTGGTCAGTTAAAATATTAAATGTTTGCCCATAAAGATATGGTCTAAAATGTTTAACAGCCCAAACAATTGCAAGTAATTCCTTTTCTACTATCGGATAATTTTTTTCTGCTTGATTTAAGCCTCGACTGGCATAAGCTATCGGCTTTCCGTCTTTGTTTGATAAAACCGCACCAACAGCGTAGTTCGATGCGTCTGTTTGTAATACGAAATTGTTTCTTTTTGAGAAATCCGGGTATTGTAGAACCGGATGAGTAGTAAGATTTTCTTTTAAAATATTAAATGAATTTTGACACTCATGGTCCCACTTGAAATGGGCATTTTTCTTGCAAAGTAAATTTAAGGGATATGCTTTTGCAGCAAAATGAGGAATGAATTTTCTATAAAAGTTTACAAAAGCAACGAAACGTTTAACTTCATCGGTATTCTTTGGAACGGGATAATTTTTTACAGTACTGATTTTTTCTGGATCAGGCGTAATGCCTAAAGCAGATACAACATGTCCTAAATACAAAATTTCTTTCCTCAGAAAATTGCACTTTGAAGGATTTAATTTTAAATTAACTTCTCTCAACCTTTGAAAAATGTCTTGTAAATTCTTATTATGATCAATTATATTTTTTCCAAAACAAACTAAGTCGTCCAAGTAAATTAAACATTTTTCATGTGTTAGACCCGTTAATGCTAAATTCATCATTCTTGAGAATGAACTAGGGCTAGTTTTTAACCCCATAGGCATTCTTGTCATTTGGAATTGTCCAGAGCAAAATGCCGTATATTTTCGACTGTTTGGTTCGAGTTCAACATTATAGTAACCCTGGTAAAGATCAAGGTGTGAAAAATATACACTACCTGATAATGCATCTAATATTTCTGTTACGTTAGGAAGAGGAAACTTATCATTTTCTATACACTCATTTATTTTCCTATAATCTATTACCAGCCTCCATTTCCTGTTCCTATTTGAATCAATTTTCTTTGGAACCAAAAGGATCGGGCTTGACCATTCGCTTTGGCAGCTTTCGATAATGCCATCTTTTAACATATTATCAATTTGTTTCTTTATTTCATCTTTCTGAGAATAAGGCAACCTGTATGGTTTGACATAAATGGGATCAGTGTTTGGTTTCATGCGAATTGAGTGTTTATAAATAGAAGTAGTATTTAATTTATCTCCCGGTAGATAAAATATATCAGAATATTTTGCAGTCAAATTTTCTATAGAGATTTTTTCTTCTTTATTTAAATGTTCCAAAAATAAATTATTGAATAATTGCTTAACCCTATCTGAATTTAAATCTGTTTTATTAAAATTACATACGTTGTAATCACAAAGCTTTTCTATATTTGGTCTGATGTTACTTAAGGTCAAGTCTTTATCAGTGGTATTTAAAACTTGCACTAATATTTTACCATCCTTCGGACTACTCAATGTACTCGCAATATAAACTCCCTGTTGAATCTCACTTGCACACACTAAACATTCTTCCGTCAGATTCATATATATATAATGTACGGACTCCGATCTGGCAGGTATAAAATATGTACTTTTAGAAGTTGAACCTAGTAACAGTGGTAACTTTATCTCATTATTTGTATTCGTCCAAAGTGTTAATGATTTATTCTCGAAATTTAAAACCGACTTGTGTTCGCCAAGAAAGTCTTGTCCTAGAATACCATGTGCCTTACATGGCAAAGTATCAAAAACAAAGAATTTATGCGTCAGAGTATTCTTGCCTAATTGCAAGTCGATATTTACATATCCTATTGCACTAACTTTTCCACCTAAGCCGTTAATCATAACATTCTTTTTATGGATTGGAATATTATGTTCTAAGACATATGTATACTTTATAGCAGAAATTGATGCACCGGTATCGATCAAAAAATAATATTGTAAGTTCCGAAATATTGATAATTTAACGAAGCATACATTATTACATGATAATATGTGCTCATTATTCACGAAAAAACTGATTTTCCGACATATTGGCCGATGATGTACTAGCTTTCGGTTGGGAGTCTACTACGCCTACATATTCAGAATTAAAATTACGAACAATTTTTGTAGGTTTTCCTCTCGTGGATCGAGTTGTAGTTTGTCCCCGCCATGCTCTTGAGGAACCTCGAAAAACTCGCGTCCGGTTTGGATACCTATTTTGGTCTCTATAATTATAATTGTTGTGATACATACCATGATGATTATATCCACGCTGCCGTTGATTGGTGTACTTACCTCGAGTATATTGATATCTATTCGACCGCATAGTTAGTAGCTCCTCTCCAGCACTCGGATCTAAGGAAGTATCTTCATCCACTGCGGCCTGCACTGCATCTTTTAAATATTCATAATTCCTAGCCGATATAACCGTACCCAATCTACGGTTTCGCAATCCTTCAGCGAATTGCTTTATAGCTTGTTCTTCATTTATACTCTTTAAAATTCTATACTTATTTTCATCGTTTTGAGATTGCGAAATCGTAAGATTAACAAATAAATCAGACATAGATTTTCCATAATCTTCTGTGGTCATATTATTTTGTCTTAAGGACAACAATTTCTTTTGAAGAGCTGTAGCTGATTGTAAAGGCAGCAACCTTTTTCTCATATCTTTTAATAACTCCATTACATTCGGATAACTTTTTTCTAATTTTAGTTTCGCGCCTTGTGATAAACGATTTTTCAGAATAAAATTAACTAAGTCATTTTTTGCATCAGCTTTTAATTTTGACTCGTAATACTCGATTCCATCTATTAATTGCTTCGTGACAGATAATTCATCTGTCATAAGTGGACATAAATTGAAAGCAGTTTTAAAATCAAAATCTATTTTTAAATCTATTTTTTCTACCTGTCTACACAAGTTATTTACTTCTTCGTATATTTCCTCAAATCTTTTTGTCAACCCCTTAATATTTATTAATTTCTTCTCATCACATGAATAAACTATTCCTTTATTAAATTGACTCACTAACTCATTATATCTTTCTCTTATTAAATTTGCCTCTCGTAACTTTTTTATTACAATATTTCCCTCTCTTCTCTTAGGACCAATCTTTATTAAATAAGTACGAATTTCCAATAATTGGTGTATAATAAGTTCAAAAGGATTATCCATATAATAAAATTAATAATACAAAGATGCTTACCCTTAATACATTTGTTTATACTTAGCTTATCTAAACATAGTCGTAGCCTAGCGCGCTCATATTAATCATATTTTGCCGATTTACTTGCACAATTGCACATTTTGTTATTTCACTTAGCACTTTCTTTTTTATTTATTTTTTTCACTTTTTCACTTCCACTTTTTAGTAATGATTACTCTGCATCTGCTCCAATCTTGCTCAGTTGCATTGTTTGCACAAAAGCTCTTCTTTCAATACGCTTATTTATACACTTATTTATGTAGCGTGTTAGTAGGAAAATAATTCCTATTCCCAGCATCAGTACCAAAATACCCAGATATAAGTCAGTCGTATAAAACTTGTACTCCCGATGCTCGTCTATTGAATTTTTAAGACCAATTTGGGAAACTTCATGGGTCGTTGGCGCAGCCGCTGGTCTATTTGCTCCTGAATTACACATTTTTGTCTTCTTGGTATTCTTGATAGACGACAAACTCGCGCAACGTTGTAAACGAATTTATTGAATTGTACATTGTTAATTCGTTGGACTATGCATGTAACCCGAGCTCCAGATCGTGGCCTGCCAAAAATGGCAGGGTCGCCATGTACGGATGGCGTTGGGGAGATGTATTGAAAACACCAGGTTGATATTAAGACTGTCATTTATTAATAATGTAATTGATTATATAGGAGTGATTATATGGTTACTATTATAGTATACGTATCTTACCTTACAAATGCAAACCCAAATTTCGCTAAACCTTGAATTGGTAATAACGTTTTATGGCATAAGTGAAATGAGTTTCGAAGTGAAACAGGAATAGAAAGTCTGATATCCAATCAATTCTGTTTTGTACTTTTACATATATTTTGGAATCGACAGAATTTATACACTAAATGACATGAACAGACAAATGAATGAATTTGAATTCGGGTCGGGATTTTTACAGAATCGCAAAGTTGATCACCAACATTGGTACCGAATGCCTTTGGCAATACGTTCACCGTTTGTGTTAATTTTATGCAATGAATGAATAAATGGTGTAACATATTCAAGTATAGCATTGTGAATGAAAAATTTATCAAATATAATAATTAAAACAAAATTTACATCGCTACCAAAATTCAGATTGCAAGGGACAAAGTGGATTTTATAAGCATTATTGATTTTGATATCAAGAGTTTTGTTATAATAAAACTGAAAAGTCGGAGGAGTATAAAATCTGCCATAGTTAATGTTTTTAAGGTATATAATATTTTTTTAATAAATTAATAAGAAAATATTACACGCTCTTTTATTTATATTACGCGCTCTTTTATTAGGACTATAAAATTAAAAAAACGATTTTTTCACAGACTAAAAATATTAGGTACTCATTGTTTTCTTCGATTATAGAAAGACATCATATTTAGGTATGTTGTCTTTAATCAAATAAAAAGTAATTCTTGTGTATTAAGTACAATGTCTCCAGTTACTTACTTGGTTTTTTAAAAATCTACTAAACCGACGACGTCCACGTCAGGCCCATAAGCTATCAAATAAAAATAGTTTCAAGAGCGGTCTATAATTCACGAAAGAATTTGTGAACATCATATTCGAAATTTAGAATCTTTTTTTTTATTTTGAAAACGGTTAAGAAAATAAATTAAATTTTGTTTTACTTTAAAAAATGCAAGAGTAAACTATAAATCGTCGAACATGTCTTGTAGATATCTATTTCACACAAAAAAACTATCACATATTCGTAAACATATTATACAATATTTTGTAAACATTCAATAACGTTACGATTATTGTGAATTTTTCATTTACAATTCCATCACAATATTTATCTTACAAATGCTTGAAAAATCATCTTAGACTGTATGAATCTTTATTCTTTTATTAGACAAGGTTGGTTTCCGGTGTCTGTGAAACAGTCTGCTGGTAAGTAATTTATTGTTTACGAGTATTAAGTTTAGTATAATTTATAACGGCATTTGTTTTTATATAGGATATCAACTTCATCTATGATTTAGAGAGAGCCACGTAAAATTTCCTAGACTTACAGAAACAGGAAGATTTCCTAGAGACTAAGGAATCTCCCGGTTCGTTGGCTCTGCTGGCCACGACTCGTGAATTCTCGGGTGCATTCTGTCATAAGCAAGATTGTACCTTTTTTTATATATGTATCGTATATAAAATAAGTTTCCTGTACATTTTAAAAATTCTCTTTACTTGTATTGTATTCATTATATACCTTCTGTACTTTTGGGAAATGATTGCATCACTAGTTTAAACTATAACTGTTTTTTTTTAATTTTAGATAATAAGTTGATTCGTAATTATGATCTAGTCCCTTGACTAATGAAATGACCTAATAACGATAATAAGAATTAAAATCATATTGCCACAAATTAATTTTTAGTTTAAATTTGTTCTCGATTAAGTCACAATGTTCTTTTAATAATCAATAATAAGAAGGTCATTAATTATATTATTTTATATATAATGACTTCATTTTTTATTTGTAGTCATTCAGTGATAACAACATTTCAAACATGGTAAGTAAAAACATTCCCAATTATTTAGCAACATTCTTTTTTATTTAATTCTCACAAAGAAGTCGTGCTTTCTTTTATGAATTCTAATGAATGATCTCCCTAAAAGAAATAGAATCTATTTGCATTTTTTTTATTTAGAAAAATGTAAAATATATTTTTAGAAAAAATAATTAATTCAAAAAATACCCTTTAAACTGCACTAAAATCACATATCATTAACTCATAATTTTTGATATAAGTTCTTCTTTATTTGAAAACGAGGCATAAATTATAATGTTTCTTCCAATCTTTATTTTTAAACAAAAAAATATTATCTTTTTTGCAGATTTTATTAGGAGCTATGTTGTTCCTTTTAGGAACAGTATCTGCTAACCCATCATTACCTACAGAAATGATTATGCATGAACATAAACATGGAACATCGGACAAAGTAAATGTTTTGTCATCTTCAAGTCTTTCAGCATTAATAGGAAATTACCTTCAAGAAGGGACGAACGTTTTCTTTAAACCACAATTATCGCAAATGCAACCTGTAGTTGAAAATGATGATTGCAAAATGTCTCATCCCTTAATTACTCCTGTGGCAGTTAATGAGCCAATTCGTGTAGTAGAAAAAGAAATCAGTGCACCATTCGGTACAAATATTGAACATATAACAGAAATGAAGCCTGCAGCATATGTCAATATACCAAAACCCGCTGCACCATTGATAGTAGAAGATATCAAGCCATTTATTATACCTGAACCACCAAAACGAAGGATTCCTGAACTCGAAATTAACGAACCGTTAAATGGTGTTATGGAAATTGAAGAAGAAAACTTTACACCCGTGCTACCAACTAAACCGCAAAACATACCTTTATTATATAAGGAAGAACTGCCAATGAAATCCTTTTTTATGGGAGTAGAGGATCAAAGAGAAATGGAAGTACCGGTAATGCTGCCTCCTGGTCCGGTTATACCACCAATGGTACCAAAATCACCCGTATCCGTAGAAAATACTCGACTGCCATACAAACACCATCCAACCGCTCCCATCTTTGTAAAATTGGAAGAACCAAAAGAAGTTAAAATACCAGTGGTGATTCCTCCTGCTCCTGTTTTACCTCCATTTGAGTTTTCGCAGCTACCAGTGCAAGTAGAAGAAGCCCCTTTATATAGCAAATTACCTTCGCCTGTCATTGTCAAAGAACCCGCATTAGTCGAAAGGCATACGCAACATTTAGTACATGATGTGAAAATTCCTATGTACTATGAACAAAATGGTTTTTATGGCGTACCTTATTCAATACACAATTTCGATTCGAACAAGTATTGTGATGATGATATAGTTGTAGAACAAATGTTGCCCGAAATGAGACATGATATGATATATCAAAAGCCAGTTCCATATTTATTTCCTCCGTACTAATTTGATCTAAGTCTAAATTATTTATATAAGAAGTGCAACCGAATCTTAATTTAAGAGATTAAACAAAATAAATAAATATTACTATTTATTTGTTTTTCCTTTATTCATAATATTTACTTTATTTTACTATGCATGTAAACGTGACCGTTTACCACGCAGCAGTGCAGGACAAATCATTGTGGAGAATATACCCAGCGGTGAGCGTCGAACGGCTGGTATACTGATATATGTAGTTATACTCGTATATTAATGTTATAAATTTTCTCTAGATGAGAATGCTAATGATACTGCTTTATCTGGCTTATTTATCAGATAAGCTTGTATGCCCAACTCTCCACCAATCCAGTCGATTTGAAACTCCCGAAGAAGCTGAAAATACATTTTAAAAATATTATTAATTTGTATATCCAATTCCTTTCAATCATAAATAAAATTTGTTATGAATAGATTTATGACAATTAATATTGTCATTACATTTTTGAAAACAGCCTAAATCAAAAAATAATACATAAAATTATTTCTATGTCTTTTGATTACAGGAAAACTTATATAAAGTTAAAATTTGAATATTTGGGAATGTGAGTCGCTTGACTGATTTTGTTCTCAAACCAATAATAACTAGTGCATATTTATAAAATCTTACCCGTATTAAAGTAATACAAATATTTTGCTCAGCAAGCCTCCTTGCAATGCAGGAACGTGGACCAAATCCGAAAGGTAAAGATAAAAAAGGATGAATGTTTTCGTATTGTGGTGAACTTCTAAGCCACCTTTCAGGTTTGAACATTAATGGATCCTTTACATACTGAGGTAGTCGTGAAGCTATCATATTTTGAGTTACTATTACAGTCTGCAAAATAGTCACAATTTAAAAAATAATTAGTTACTTAGTAAATTAAAGAATTTCGAAAATTCTTTAATTTACATACTGTTACTTACATCCTTTGGAATGAGATATCCCCTCAGCTTAATATCATTTTGTAACACTCTGCCAACTCCAATAGCGACGGGATTCAATCTTAAACTTTCTTTGATGCAACTTCGTGTGTAATTTGCTTTTGCCAAAATTTCTGGTGTAATATTAGAATCTTTACTTGGTAACAACGTCAAAATTTCTTTAAACAAACGTTCTTGACAATTCTTGTTTCTCGCCAAATGATATAACGCGAAGCTTGTTGAATACGCAGTCTAAAATCATTAAACAGATCATCAAAACATCAAATAATGTGCTCAATATTTCATGAAAAAAGAAACTACTCACTGTATCAATGGCAGCCATCAAGATATCTACCATCATTCCTCTTATATCCTTCAAATCCACATTTGGCTCTTGAAGAAACGATTTCAATAGACAATGATCTTGAATTTCGCCCTCCTCTTTATAGAAGTTTATTCTTTTAATTAAAATGTCTTTTGATACTCTGTTATACATAAAATAAATAAAGATTTGATTTAAACAAAACTACATCCTAATACTCATCAATTCAACCTCCGTTATTTTCCAAAGAACTTGTCATTTAATAAATAAGCTTTTTAAATTATATTTGAACTTAAAACTAATTACGTATTTCATTACTTTTCCAAATACTCTTGAGATTCCGCTAATTTCTTGTATCGAGGCGTCGTAATGAACTTCCACATAAAACCCTTGTCTAATTTCATGATACCATAATTTGAACCAAATGCTGCTGCTATTGTTTTGCTGCTCCGAGAATCTGGATTAAGCTCTTGTGTTGAAAAACTATCAAAGATTTCTTTGAAAGCTACCACTCCGATTACTGAAAAGGTATTATTAATCAATTATTTATGTAAATCACCAGAAAAATAACTCCTGTCTGTGAGAGTTAGTAGCTTGCTATTCATACGCGGGCGAATTATGCTATAATTCATGAGGGGGAACACTTTTGACGGTACACACCACGGACGCCCCGCCGTCTGACTTCATTTTCTCTTCGTTTTTTGAATATTTTTTTAATTTGTTAAGCTTTATTTAAGTCTGCCACCCAAAGAAGGATTTACTATACTTACTCTCCAAATTCAATCTGTTTAAGTACTTCAAGAAGTCTTCACCGGGAGAATAAGTTTCTTTTATGCTGATTACAAGTTTTCTCACAATTTCGTCGGTGCTTTCGACGTGTACCTTTACACTCTGAGGAGAAGTGAAATTCTTCTGGAACGTACTTCGAAGTCGCCACCATTCTTCTCCATTACTAAAATAAATGTATATAATGAACATTTAATCATTGATTACCTTCGATTCATATCAACATTAGATAGATGAATAAAAAATCGATGTTGTAGGAAATTTGAGACTTATGTGCACGAAGCAATAGATCAATATAATACAATAAATCCAAAAAAATTGGTTCCTATAATCTAATTTTATAGCATCATAGAATTATGTAAATATGTAAATTGAGGTTTAAATCGATCGGAAAATTTGATAGTTTTCTCTAGAGGTGCCTTTAGATAACACTCAAGTTTCAATGTCTTTATGTGATTCTATGGAAATTGAACTTCCAATTAGATACATCCGTCATTAGTGTTCTTCAACACAAGGTTAATTTCCATGGAATCACTCATCCGATAAAATTTTAATCATAATAGCGTTAGATTACTAATTAATAATTTATTTGTGTTTCAAACGATTTACTAGGACAACCATTTTAAGTATTTCAATATATTTTTTTTTTCACTTTCAAAAAGAATCAAATAATCTCCTATGATTTTTTAAAAATAAGACTGTTGTCGTTGGAATATTTCCTGTGTAAATAAATATAAAAATTCTGTAGGTTGCTCTATTGAACATTTTATTGGTGACGTACGAGGCAACTACAACTTCAAGCTAAATTTTACAACACCAATGAGGAAGTATTTAAAAAAAAAATAGTTCCCGAAATCGAACTAGATGTAGTATTTGCTTAATATGATAATTTATCTTATAATTACTTGTCTCAATTATAGATAAAATTTAACCATTTATGGGTTTCACTATGAAATTCACCTAGCAAGAAGCCCTCCTGTATTGTACACACTTCGTTTATTCATTCTATAATGTAACATGGCAAGGTGACTTCTTCTAATTGGATACCGGTCATCGTGACGAAATATAGCTTCAATATCTACAGGGTCATACACGTGAAGCAGACGCACTCCTGGATTTTCTCGCACGAGTTTACCATACCGGCGATAATTATACAAGGCATTTTTGTCCAATGCCCCTGCGTCATAGTCTCCTGAAAATAAATATAAAATATTCAAATATAGCCTTGTCGATGTTCCACTACCTCCACGCTAGCGAATGGCGCTTGTTATACGGGAAGCCATAGGTCGTCGACCCCACTCTATACAATAATAGGCAGTAGATACTCAGCGTCTCGCTCTTTGAGTAAGAGGATATAAACATGGTACCAGGCGGCGCGGCCTACAAGGATTAAACTGAATGTTCTTAAAAACTGAGAAAGTAGCAAATTTTATTAGTCTTATTAAAAAATTGTCCATTTACATCAGAACAAAGTAGCGTCCGATCCGATGAAAATAGTAAGAAAATCACCACTTGTCCTTAGGGGTCCTCGACGTCTCCTCGACGGCTATTTGAATCACAGTTTTTTTTTTCTCGAAGTGCGAATGCAAGGCTGTACGATATATGACCAAATAATTCCATGTCTAATGGTCGGTCGTTTGCCTGGTGGTGTGCGAGGAGGCGTTGTCGTGATAAAAGAGGGTTCTTTTGCGAAGTCGTTTTTTACAAACCTTTTCCAAGACAAGTGGCAAACAATAGTTCGCGTATCACTCTGCAAAAACAGATTTTTGACCCTCTTAAACAATTGTCATGTAATGAACTGGCGTTCCAAAGAGCGAGGCCACCGTATTTTTACTCACACTTCGACCTCTCTTCGCTTTATTTTGCAACTCTTCGAAAGGAAAGGGGTTTTTCGGTCGGCGGTCAAATGAGGTATCCACCAGCCACAAAACTTCCTGACCGCTAAATATTCATGAAGGATTAGATGCACTTGACTCATACCAATGCTAAAACTTATTAGTTATAACATTCACTCTTTAGTTTGCCTGTGTTATACACTGCTCAATAATGACGTTTTTTTTAGTCGTCCCTGTAGAAGGACCGACAACTGGAGATCTATCGATGAGATTAATGCGACGTTTGAACTCATAAAACCAATTGAAACAGTAGATGGGGCCTAGATGGGGCTTCATTGTTAAGTTATTCAATTCAATTCAATCGGGTCTTGTTCGTGCATTTTTTTAAACTATTAATTTACCTCGACGTATGTTACAGCAGCCAAAATGTCTTGCCAGCAAATGTGAAGTAGTTGAAACTAGCAAAGAGTTGTAGAGCAAGTGGTGGGTTCTAAATAAATTATCTCTTTAGTAATTTATTAGTGTTCTTTACGATTCATAAAAATTCTGTTTTTAGTTATTTCTACATTATAATAAAAATAGGTTAGTTTATGACAAGGACATACGTAAAAAAATCAGCGAATATGAAATACATTTGTCATTTACACTTTTATTGAGTGAATAACTTAAGTTAAAGGAAGTATCATAAATAACTTTATTATACTTCTACCAATCAAGCTACACAAACGACGTAGTTCGTACTAGTTATTTTCGACAGATGGCTCTTATTTGTGTTTGTATGAAAAAGTAAATATCTATAATATTCTGTACAAATATACAGTACTGTATGTATTATTATTAAACAGTATTGTTATTTCATTGTTAAGTTCCCATGACCACCTTCCAGCTCCATCGTCATATTTGCTTACTGACACTTGTATTGCATTGTCATCCAACTTACCTGCATGTATATGCAAAATTTTAAATCTATTTAATGTTGGGAAGTGAGTCAAATTCAAAAGTCAAATGTACTAACAAGTCAAATAAAAGCTTGTAAAATCTATTTCGATATTTTTTATGGAACTTCCTCAGGACCATAAACTTCTAGTCTGTTAAATTCTGTTAAATATACTAATGGCATTCTTACAGCCAGTTGTAATAACGTCGTTTAAAATTGTCATTAGTTTAAAGCGACTATAATGTTTTTTCAATGACTTTTGCTTATTATTTTTAATAGTGAATACTAGTCCAGTTTCCAATAGGTATTAAGGAGTTTCATCAACTTACCTAATAATGGCAAATATTGATGTAAAGTTCCAATAATAGGATAAGATTTGGGTCCAGGTATATCTTCGAAATTCTTTAAGCTCACATCGCCTTTGCTTATTGCGTGATCATAACGTACACATATTTTCACATACTTGTTAAAGTTAAAGGTGTAATATTTATAGTTTAATATTTTAATCATTTTTATCAAAATATAATAATCACGAGCGACCAGTGTGAAGTTTGTTATGCCACTGAACCAATAAGCTCAAGTTACGATGTCGGTTCAGCGACAAAATATGCACATAAAGAAACTAAAAAACATTCTCTGATAAATCGTGGGACGGTATTTACCTGCATACATCGCATAATTTATCCTGTAGATTCAGTCGCGATCAAGAAGCTCATTTACATTCATGTCAAAACCTCTTAAAAAAGTTCAGAATTTTAATTTTAATTCAACATTATGAGAAATATCATCAAGGATGATTTTAACTTATTAGGTAGGTAAGTACTTGTATCATTTCTAAACAATTTTTGCATCGAGGGTATACTCGGTAAAACATGACAATTATACTTACTAATAAACCTTTCTATAGTTTATTAGTAGGGAACGCTTTTTTAGCGAGTTTGATCTCGTCGAATAATGGACAAGATCTTGCGAGTTTAACGAGATTGCACATAAAAATATTTATTCTAACGGTCAGTTGCACAAACGTCCATTAGGGCTTAATGACGCCTTTAAGTTCTAATGAATGTCAAATTTGTATGAGTAATGTCGCTTTAAAGTAATGAAAATTTTAATGGTCGTTTGTGCAACTGGCTGTAAGTGTGGCAGCGCGAATTTATGCGCGTCCGGGGGCTTAAAAGGCGAAGTTTTACACTTTTACGGTCCTTGTGTTTTCGAAAGGGTCTTCTCAGTGGCTGGTTAACTGGCCACCATAATAATAAGAGGAAAGGCAAAGATTCTTTAGTCATTTTGTGCTTCTGAAGATCTCTGGGTACATATAGTTTTCTTTCATTGATAATAATCTCAGTTTAATATTACATTCAACTTAATTAGTTAGTTTTATTTTAGTTTTTGTATTTTTATTTAAAAAACTGTATTTTTGTTTAAAAAAAATTAATTAAACTTTTGTTTGATATTAACAGAGAAGTCTGGTTGTTTATTTCATTTCGTATTTGATTAGATACGTCAAATTTTAGTTTCTTAAAAGATTTGTGCCTGGATAATTAAGCTTTACTCGCGACTATTATGAAATAATAAAAAAAAACAAACTAAATCGATTTGTGATCTCTGAAAGCCCTGCATACTTTATGTCATGAAAATTCTTCGAGCCGTTTCCGAGATTATAATAGTTATTGGTCTTTTAAAGGTTTTAGATAAAAAAAATAATTGTATCAAACAATGTTAAATACATAAAACTTTATTGAAAATATCCGTAAAAACAAATGTTTATTTCATAAAACCTACAATTCTTCCCTAATTTATTCAAATAATGTGTTTTGAATAAATTTTACAGTAAAACAGTCAACAAACAAAAGTGCCAATGCACGCAAGAATGCACGCGCCGCTTTGCGTGTAGTGACGTTATCTAGAGCCTCCCAACGAACGGGTGTATTTGTATTGTTCGACTTCGGCTCAGAACTTTTACAAAAAGGACACCTCCAAGTAGGGCGCACCACATCCAAACGGTCTTCAGCAACACCAGCACAAATCAGGTCAAATGACTCCTTACGCATTCGGCAGTTCAGGAACTGAGTATTTATTATTTTACTCTTACATCCGGCACAAATAATATTGGATACCATTATAACTTTCTAAAAAATAGTAGAGAAATACGTAAATATTTGCGAAAAATAAGTTTAAATTTTAAGAGATATCGTTTTTGCGCATTATCACTTATATTTGTTATTTGGAATAATAAAAAAAAATTGAATAACGGTAAATTAATTCTATGAACAAAGCCACTGATCACGTTTCAAGTTATCTCATTTTAGTATTCACTGACCAAATAGCAATTTAAACTTGTTTCTGACTTACAACAAACTTGATACATCAAAAAAGAAGACTTACTTCAAGTTTGCCATGATAACTGCAGCAACTTGCAGCAGGTTTAAATCAAACTTTCTAGTTTCAGTATGAGAAACTTGTTTCAGTGTGACGGTACTCGGGTACTCAAGTACCTGGAATACAGGTTTCGAGGCAAATATTACATTAAGTTTACTAAGTTTTATTAATCTTTTGATCATTCAAAACTTTTGGTCCAAAAGCGATTGCGACTTTAAACTCAGACCACAGCACAGAGCCTGGCCTGAGAGCCGAAGTGATTAACTGGAACGGTTGGTTTCGAATCCATTTTAAGATCACATTAAACAACATATTACTTATACAATCTAACAATATAAACTAATGCCGCAATGCATTAAATGAACAGCGCCATCTAGTTTGCAGACTTAGAACTTTTCGGGCACCTATGAAGATGATAGGTGTGTCACAAATAAGTATCTTTGTCATAACAATATTCAAACAATATTGTCGCAAACTTGAAACTTCATATTTAACATAACAATATTGCAGCGACATTGTCACAAACTTTCCTCGTATATTGGACGCAGCAATTTAGAATCAAAGAAAAATCAAACTTGCCTCTAAGTTAGCATGCTATCTGGGTGATATCCTTATGGCAAAAAAGAGGAAAATACAGGTATCAATTGAGAACCAGCGACAGACTACCAATCTGATATAACTCAATGAGGAAGTATTAAAAAAAAAAGCACTAAAAAGCACCTCCACTAGATAGCAACTCTAGCAATAGTTGATTTTTGCAGGAAATGAATGGACCAAAGATAGTAATTTCCGTTCCTTTTAACTAACATATTGCAAATACAAAAAATTACAAATAGAATATGAGTTGTTTATTTAGTTTTAAAAACAAATTAACTAAATTAAATTAAATTAAGTACATGAAAGAAAACCGGAAAAATTGTCATGGAGAAATCAAGAAAGTACTGTAGCGACATCTAGTTTGATGAAAAAAAAACATTAGTTCCCGAACTAATGTTTTTTTTAATATTTCCTCATTGGTAACCTATTTTTGCTGTAGTCGTGTATTATTTTGTTATTTTTATTGGAAATTGTATATTTTGTCTTAAATTTGCACCAGAATAAATTTAATAAATTATTTTTAATCACTAGTGATTTTTTTCTAAAAATCGAAGTCGTCTGTCAAAATTGAATTAATATTTTTTTATAAAGGAGAGTAGGGTAAACCATATAGCTATTGCCCACTTAAGGACTTCAAACACTTTGGCTTCAAACAATAAAAAAAGTATTATAACTTTCAACCATTTATCATTTTTTTCTTATATCTAAATAAAATCTCCATCAAAATGTTAACGGTTTTTAGTCAAAACATACATGGCTTAGAAAATAATTAAACAAATTTAAAATTATCTAAAAATGTACAGTTATTGCCCATTGCTTACACTAATTGCCCACATCACAGCACAGTAATTGCCCAGTACCTTAAAATGATAAATTAGACTTTGAACTTTAATAAAACAATCAAAACAAAACGTTAAACTGTAATCTACAAAATCTTAAAATAAATTGCGTTTGGCTTTATTAACCATATCAAACATTTCTTTCGCTGATCACAATTAGAATCATCTACTTCAAAACAACGATGACACGAAAATAAACGTAAATCGGAGTAGTCTGGTATATGTTCCTTATGTTTTGGTGGGATGCAACGCACATGAAAGATTTTTGAACAGGCACTGCATGTCAATTCATTTTTTATTACGTTGAAATGACAAACTCCACAAGTAGGCTTTGGCAGAATGTTACTACAAGAAGGTTGTATTAAAAGATTACTTAGAATAGTTATCTTTTTATTTGCTGACATTTCTTTACTTTTTATGCCTATTTCTTTTTCTATCTTCTTTGGTGTCGGTTCGAGTTGTTGCTCAAAAGGTTCAATAAGTTGTTGCTCAAAAGGTTCAATCAGTTGTTGCTCAAAAGGTTCAATCAGTTGTTGCTTAAAAGGTTCAATCAGTTGTTGCTTAAAAGGTTCAGTCAGTTGTTGGCTATTATCCTCTAAACTCGTATCTATTTCCTTAGATTACTTACTTAATCAAAAAATTGCCGATAATGATTGCCCTGGGCAATAACTATAGATATTATGGCAATCACTAAAATTATGGTGGGCAATGACTAAAAATATGCCGAAATACGTACAGCGATTACCCACCGTTAAAAAACCGTTCAATCCAATCTGATTTGAAATATTTTCATTAAAAACATAACATAACACTTATGATTTCGTCATAACCATACACCAATAATGAAATATCAAATAAAATGCAAAAAAATGAAGTTTGAGTAACACGTTCACCCGTCTTGACAAAATCCGCCATTACTGTTTTTTTTTCTTCAGTGTTGCCACTTGTCAATTTTAAAATCTACTATAAATTTACCATAGAGTAACCTAGTAAATTATATTCGAAACAAGTGAGAACACAACCTTTGATTCAGATTTTTTTTCTAAAAAAGGGGCAATCCGTGCCTGTGGGCAATAACTCTCTGGTTTACCCTACGATTCAAATAATATTTTTGTCATTGTCATCCTCAGCCTATTAATGTTCCCACTACATAGAGAGCATAGGCCATCTTTAAGGATGGCATTGAATCAAAGAGGGAATAGAACGTTTTCGTCCATGGGACAGGCAAGGAACTAAGTCAAAGACGGAGAATTAATCACACAAGCCCAGTACTGATCGAAGGTTACGACTATCGATGCAGACATCTTATGACATCGTTATCAATACTAATAGCATAAAGAAGAAAGATTTAAATAATTTAAAAATAATCATTCCCTACGGGAAGTTTGATTATATGCTGGTGACAAAGGCGAAGATAGTTTTTAATAATCATAATTAATATTGATTATTGAAAAGTAACCAACAGTTTTAACGTCCAGCCTCACAATTAAATGAAGATCTGAGTGTTTTTTTATTTATCATGAACAATGCATTTTATTACTAAGATTATCGTCTAATACCGATAATAAATTACAGATTGTTTATTTGTTTTAAACGATAATCACCTAGCACTCAGCACCATTGAAACTAGCACTATTTAGTATTTTTTGTTTATTTTCTGCTCACAGTTAGGTTTTATAAGTAAGGACAAAAAAATGTAATGTCCTTCATCACTTCAGCCGAGAGACGCCCACTGATGGGCATAGGCCTCCCCCAAAGATCTCCAAAGCGATCGGTCCAATGTCCTTAGTTAATAAAAATTTTAAATCTGGATATTTTAATCTTTGTCCCACGCACAATCCTTCATGAAAAATATCTGGTCCTGTAGATTCTGTCACTAAAAAAATACGTAAATGCATAAATATATACGTATATAATATGTATATATTTATGTCAATTTAGTCAGATTCACACTGAGGCTAAGATCAAAGTGTATAATGAAATTGTGGATGCCTGGGCCAAGTAGGCTATTATGACAGGTGATCCCTCTCATCTACAGAACTATTCTAGGGATATCTTACAAATAGCTCGGTCTGACCTAGAAAATATATGGGGAACAAGATGGAGCCGTACTTCTAAAACTATAGGACGACATTATGGTAGCCTACAAAACTCTGTGCCGACTAAGCCTTGGTTCTATTTTCGTGATATTCCCAGACGTATCGTCACTACCATATGTTGTCTTCGTTTTGGACATGTTACTACACCTGTTTTTCTTGCTAAGATTCGAATTTTAAATAGTTTTATTTGTGAATGTGGAATTGAAGAAGGTACCACTGATCACATTTTTTTAAACTGTCAGAAGTATCCGTCCTTATGTAATCAACTCTCACCTAAAACTCCCCGTCCAGTTAATCTTAACTCTCTTCTTTCTATTTCTGCCAAACCTCTCTCCGTTTTTGCAAATTTATTAAAAAACATAATATCAAACTATAAAAATAAGTGTTGCAAAACTTATTTCTTAACATCTGCAGAAAAAAACATGTTTAGATATAGTAAAATAACGTAAAGAAAATGCAATATTTTTAGGAATTTATTCAACGACGAAAACGTACTATAATTAGTCGTCGTCACAACCAATTATACAAATGTACTCTTTGGTCACAACCAATCACGATTCTGGCGTGACGTCATCAGCTGTCATGTCAAAGTAGTGATAGAAGATACATAAAATATCGATGCCTGTAGGTATCGAGTGCTTTTTAGTAAGTGCTGCTGATAAGAACTGCCAAAAAGAAATACAGAAAGAAAGAATCATTTACTAAGCTTTTAAAAAATCGAAGAAATAGGGAAAACGCCAGCAATTAAAAAAAAAAAGAGCAACTTACATGTTTTTCTAATTTCTTGAACTTTAATATAATAATTCACAATTGGAAAGTCGATTTTGATGATATATAAATCGTTCTCCAAGTCAAAAACTAATAAAAAAAGTCACCGGGTTCTGTCCCCTTACTCTCGAACGCAATTGCGACCGATCGACATTGCAATTGTGCCGTTTCGTACTCTTAATTGGGTAAACCAACGCTAGAGTACGCTAGTGAACCAATCGAGCGTGCGGCCCGGCACAATTGCAATGTCGATCGGTCGTGCTTGCGTTCGAGAGTAAGAGGGTAGATGTCTAATTATCAAGTGCCATGTCTCTCCATTATCAAGTGGACAGACATACTACATGCATGTATAAAAAAAATAGTACATTATTTTTCGTACTAATGTCTCATCCATCTGTAGGTCCACAGGCTGTAAAGTGCGAGCTCTGTCAACAAATATAAATGAGTCGTAAAATGTCTATGATATAGAAAAAAAATAAAAAGAAAACCTTCAAATGTATCGATATGAAATAAAAAAGTTTCAATACTTTTAGCGAATCCTTACCTAATTTTATCACCATCTCTACTCTATTTAGCTACTAATTATGATTGTGAATCTATTTTCTTCTAGACTCGAAGTTTGTTTGTTATTTATAAAAGTATTAGTACATTGTGGCACTACGCACCACTTGTAGCTCATTTCATAAAGAAAAGTAGAGTCATTTTATAAAAAACGTAAAAATTACGCACTACGACTTCAATTTTTCTTCTAAATTATTATTTCAATTTACTATAAAGACAGTTGCTACTTATCGATTTGACACATTTACTAGCCTGTGACGTCACGACCAGCGCCATTACCATACGCCATTATTTAAATTTTACCAATTATTTTCACCAAAAATAGAAAAGATTCCAATTAAATATAATGATTAATGACAGTATGTTTATAATGTAGCAAACAACGATTTAAAATAGTTTTCAGGAAAGTGTCATTTACCCTATTATCCAATGATATTAATATGTCTAGATACGCAATACATACCAAAAATCTGAAGCTTCTAAAACCAAATAAAGTACTTTGTGACTAAAACTAAGACATTTGTCTTAGTTTTTTCGTTCTTCACTTCATTACTCATTCAACTCCCGCCAAGAAAGTACAAAAAAATGCTCCGCAAAAACAAAGAAAAACAGAAGATAAAATACGATTCTCTTTCACAAATACACATAATACGAAAGAATATTAAGTTTCACATTTAAATCATTAACATTTTTGGCAATAAATACAAAATTATAGCTAGGTTATAAAATAAAAATATTTAATTTTCACAAATAAAATTTCGACATTTTGTCGTCAGTGTTGCCACTGATATTCACTTTCAATTTTCCCAAGTATATGGGAGCCTTTTCTTTTTATTTAACGTGGCTATAATTTATCTAAATATCTTTTTATAATTAATTATATAGCTCAGCTTAAGTATAGGCAACTGCTCTAATTGTGTTTATAATTTTTTTATATACACACACAGATGCTAATGTGATTTAATTTTTTCAATGCGTGGAATTCGTTAGTTATCGAGATACAACTTTTGAAAATACGTTATTTTTTGAAATAATAATTTCGTGATTGTTTTTTTTTTCAAAGAAATTTTCAAAGTTACAGTATTTTACTAATTGATTTTATACATATATCTACACTACTCGTTCATTCATTCATTCATCACAATGGGTGAAATTTTCGACAGCTGGCAATACAATATCAATTACCCATTTTTCCGTTCATTTTACCGTTCGCACATATTCTGTCTTTGTTTAATTTAAAGTTTAATCGTAGATATGAGGGAGACAAATATAATAAACCCATTTATATTATATAGTATAAATATTATTTGCAAAGCTACGTCCTGATTTCGGAAAAGTGCTACGCTTTTTGGCGCGTCTGTTGTATGGGATTGCTTCTCTAGTTATTAAACTCATTGCTATTATCGTAGTTATAGTGATATTTGCTCTATGTTGTTTTTTTAGTAAAGAAAGAACAATCTCAAGGTATAATTGGTTAATTATAACTACCGTTCAGTCTCTCTCTCACTACGGGATGTTGGCAAATTTTCCGTGTATAACGGAACGAGTCCATATATATAAAAAAAAAAAAACATCAAAGTGTAGTAGTGTACGTCATAGAGGAATAATAATAGGTTGGGGTAGCGTACGTATAATATTGTAATCTTTGGTGTACGTACTTGTACTATAAAACTGATATGGTTTAAGAATGAGTTTATATAGTTTTCTTCGCTCTCCACTAAAACGGAAAGGTTTTAAATTAATAAGAAAAGCTATCTATGGTTACAGAAACTATTGTTCTAATAATGCACTAATTCTTGGAATCGAAACTTCTTGTGATGACACAGGATGTGCCATAATAAACAACCATGGTAAAATACTATCAGAAACTTTATATTCTCAAAATCTTGTACATCTGAGGAATGGAGGTATCATTCCTGATGTAGCTCAAGATTTACATCGGGCCTGTATTGAATCAATAGTAGCAGAAACATTAAGTAAAGGTTGTTTAACTATGGATAATATTTCAGCTATTGCTGTTACTTTAGAACCCGGGTTACCATTAAGTTTGGCCGTTGGTATGAAATATGCTAAACACCTGTCACGACGATATAGTAAACCCATGATTCCCATCCATCATATGGAGGCACATGCTTTAATAGCTAGAATGCAACATGATATAAAATTTCCTTTTTTAGTTCTTTTGATATCTGGAGGACACTGTCTTTTAGCTGTTGTGCAAGATGTCAATAAATTTAAACTTCTGGGAGAAAGTATGGATTGTGCTCCAGGAGAAATATTTGACAAAATTGCAAGAGAAATGAAATTGAGAAATTTACCTGAGTATTCTAAAATCTCAGGTGGGGAAGCTATTGAATTAGCCGCTTCAAAAGCAAACAATCCCCATATGTTTCAATTATCTTTACCACTGACTGATTACAAAGATTGTAATTTTAGCTTTAATGGTTTGAAAACATCCGTTTTTTATCACATTCACAGAAAAGAGAAGGAACATAATATTGTTGCACACAACTTAATACCAGAAATTAATGACCTTTGTGCTGCAACATTAATGACAACAACAAGACATTTAATTCACAGAACTCAAAGAGCTATGGAGTTTTGTTATTTAAAAAACTTGATACCTGAAAATAACAAGCAGTTGGTAATATCTGGTGGAGTTGCTTGTAACAATTACATTTTCAATAACTTAACAGCACTTTGTAATGAATTTAAATATAGAATTTTTAGGCCTCCTCCAAGACTTTGTACAGACAATGGAGTTATGATAGCTTGGAATGGTGTAGAGAAGTGGAGAAAAAAAATTGATATAGTAACTAAGCTAGACTCATTAGATATCAAGTCTGTCAGCCCTTTAGGTGAAAGCCTAATTCCAGAAGTTAAAGCTTCCAATTTAAAAACTAAACTTTTAAAAATAAAGCAATCATTATAAATTTTAGAACTTTTACTCTTATAATATCCTTTTACTTAAATTTTTTACTGACAGACGAATTTAAATCATTATTGATGAATTGATGATTGTTTTTATTTTGCAATAATACTTTAAAATTTGCAAAAATTTTGGTATAACATTAGGGATGTCATTGATTAGGGAGCTGAACAAATTGAGTAATATTTTTTCCATTTGGAATAAGTTTGACAACTTGACTAGAGTAAACAAATGCATGTGAGTCACATCGCTAATTTCTTTTATGGGAAAGAAAGATGATGTGTAGCAACAAATTTTCCAAATACTGTTATGTTTGAAAACGAATATGTATATCTTCAGTTAATCATTTTCATTTAGTTACTTGAGCAATGTTGCAGTTCAATATTATTTTTACTTACAAATTTTCAGTTTTCGGTCCACTTTCAGAGATGAAATAGAAAAGTTTCATGTGCTAGAGACGTTGGTAATTTATTAATAATAAAGAATTATTTTATGTCCTGCAGCTAACCTGAAGTATTAATGTTATTTGTTCTTGTTTCAATTCCTGTGACTATCAAAACTAAAATTAATAAAAACCTATTTAAGAAACCCTATGGGACTTTTCGGTTATGTAACTTGGCAATTCTGTTTATAAAAAATTCTATGGCCCAATTTAACTTTGATGATGTTTTAGATACTTTTGCAGAACAGAATGCTTTAAGAAATGATTTTTTTAAGAGCCCTTTTACATATTTGCACTCTGAGAGATTAGGTATTTCAAAGCGTCCAGAATTCTCGACCGAAAGGGAGTCTATTGTTTAGAGTTAATGTACGTAGGTATGTGAGTTTTTTACTCCACCAAAAAGATATAACAAATATGAACGTGTAGAGTATCATTAGAAATGTTACATCATTCATCCCTAGTGACCACAAACTACATAGGATATCCTAACATTGGCTATATTTTTAAATGTGGGGGATGAATGATTTTTTTAAAATTAAGTAATATGTTTATCCAATTAAATGTCTTTATAAGTACATTAAATATATATATATATATATATATATACACGTAATTAACTGTTCACTAAAAAGAATAAAATATAAATAAATAATTTCAAAATTAAAAACTCGACTGCTAAGATCGAACTAAAAATAAAGCGCCGATTTCACTACCCAAATTATCGGACACGATCGATCGGGTAGTGGGTACACTGCACAGACTTAGTAGGTATCAGACGACCAACTTCCTAACAAAAAATTTCTTCGTAGAACGTGATTGGGAGCCAGTGATACATGACAGCTTCATTCGTTTTAAATATTAAGATCTACTATCGGCAAAGGCATTTGGCTATACAGCCCTGTTTTGGGTAGGTACCTAGCCGTCTTCCTATTTTCCACATTATTTTTACTTTAAATTCCTTTTTTGTTTTAATACAACAATAATAATAAAGCAGACTGATAAGTCTAGCTTATTATTAGTGTTGTATTAAAACAAAAAAGGAAAAACGAACGCGTAAATGAAACGCAAATTTTTCCAATATTATTTATTGAATAATTTATTTCTTAACTTATTATATTTTTCACAGCTTTCTTCTACATTCTCGGCAATTCATAGCTACGTTTTTTAGTGGCACAACCTTATGAAACTTTTCAAGGTAATTACAATTTTTTTTAAAGAGGGCACTGATTTTTGCATACTTTTTTATACACATAATTAAGTTTTTTCTAAAATTTCAATTGCCTTTGGCCAGAAAGAATGATGGTGTGTCTTATTGGTCACAGCTCTTTTCCTTTATGTTTTTTTTTGTTTATCGATGCTCCATTGACACTATCAAATAATTGGTCAAAGAATGAAACAACTTCAGCTGTATTTCTTAATATTGTGCTGACGAGCCTGCCATCCACATAAGATGCTGCAAATTAAAATATTCATATAATAATTGTATGAAACTTGATTCAAAACTATTAACTTTCATCTAATACTCACAGAAATTTGCAGTGTAAGACAAAGCTGCAGACAGAATGGCTCAATATTTTTACACAATTTTTTACCTGCAAAAAGAGATATCATATTTAAAATTATCTTCATTAGAGAATCATTATTGTAATTTAAGTGTAAACTATATTAACTACTTGTTACATAATTAAAAATACAGGTCATTGAATCAACACTTGCTCTGATAGAGAATATAGAAGCTGAATACAAATTATTTCTTTTACTTATACTAATTTAAGTTATACTAATATAATAACCAATGCATTACCTTCATCTTTTTAATTTTATCAGGTATAACTCATTGGTCATTTAATTTATGACGTAGCCCAGCTTCAGCGTGATGGCAGTCTGTCTCATTGACATAAATAATATCATGCCATTTTGCAAGTTAACCATCCAATATTAAATTTTTTGTTAAAAAATTGTTCCTGATACATTTTATCAAGTGTGTAGAATCATAATGTTCAAATCCACCACATATTTTAAGAATGCCAACTGAAACAAAAATTTAAGAACTTCTCAAATCATAGATAACAATATAAAAATAAGAACCTTCACTGCTTTCATTAAATCTATTAGTTTTCTTTCATATAAATATAATTCTCTGTACCAACCTGTGATTTCAATTTAAAATTTGATCTTGTGTCTTCTTTTAGATTTTTGAGTGCTGATTGGAAAGCTGAGCCTTGGTCATATATTATTACGATGGGATTAAGGTCCAATTCAACAACTTATTCTACTACTAACTTTAAAATATTCTTGATGTTTACAGTAGATGTAGCTCCTTGACAGAAATAGTAACATAAAGGCTGTTGCCACTTGTAAACAGCACCAACATAAATACAAGAGATCTGAAAAATCCACTTTCTTTTCTAGGTGTTCTACAAATCCATTAATGTTATCTTTAATCCTTATTACTTTTATTATACAAAAGTGCTGTTTCTAATGACATCTCATCAAATATAATGGAGGATATTTTTTTGGAGTTTCATTTGTCCACCTGAAAAAGTAAATTCAAATAGGTAGGTACATATTATTATTTTGTAGTAATACAAAAAATTATAAAAGTAGTATGAAAAACCTTATATGGAATATATTTACCTCTTACATGAAGCCTGGTTCTATGATCAATTTTCTAATCATAGTATTCAGTGTAGTATTGGATGATAAAATAAAAAATTTTGCTTAAAAATCAATAACACTTTAGACTCTGCTTCGATATTGATAAAGCAATTATCTTTCTTTTCTTCGGTAGTGAATCACCTCTCATGTTTATTTTTAGAGCACATGCTCACTTGCATTTCAAAAACATTTTTTGCAACTGTTTTCATTTTTTGTGTGAACTTTTCAAATGATAAATTTTTACAAAACTTAAAGGTATTTAAGTATTCTTAACTTTTTTATGAAAGTTCAACTACGTCTTTGGCTTGTTATATTCTTCATAAATTCTCTGGTATAAAGGTGACAATTGGCTTTATTTGGTAATAAGCCTTTTCCTTTTTGTTTGGGTACATTTCACAGGGTCTGTAACATCAAAAGTATTCAGTGAATTTCTCTATTAGAACTACTATTTGATTGAAATAAAGATACACTAAAGAAAGAGACAGGTCTTACCAGATAATTTAGTTTGTGTCATATTTTAATCTCCAGAACCAGCAACTAATTTAGTAAACTCAGTGGCTGCAGACACAGGAGTCTCAATTTGTTCTTTGAAAATTACACCACCTATGAAATCAATATTGATTATGTGTGTAAGATTAAAAAACAGGATATAATCTTAGATGATATTAGAAATATGTTATTTATATTATAAATTTTTTCTCTGATCAAAATCACTTCTAGCATGCCCGCTAGAGTTAAATAACTTAATGTAATTTTTCTTTATGTGTGTAAGAAAGACAGATCTATTAGACTTTTTTAAAGCAAAAATCTATGTTAAAATACACCAAAACTGCAGCATGAACTTTGTTATCTAAATAAAATAAATTAAAAACAAACCTCTGTTCAGTTACACTTTCTAATATGTGTGGTCAACATGACTTTTTCTTGCATAGCTGTGTTCCCAAGTGAATATAATTTCTGTAATAACAAAAAAATCTAATGAAGAATAGCGGTATTCCAAAACACAACATAAAGTGAAGATACATATCATTTTAATTACATTATCTAAAGGTAATAGCAGATTAAACCAGCCTTACCAGTATTGCTTGAAGAGGGTAGGCAGATTGAGAGCCCATCATCATTAAACAATGACGGATATGCGTCACCCAAGAGTCGTGATTTTGGAGTAATGAATCTTGGTACAACGTGTTTGCTACAAATGACACTTCTGCCTGGATTCAAATTTTCAGTATCACACACAGCACTAAGACATTGTAACCCCTTGGAGAATCTTTTCTCGTTCACTAGAATCTTACAAAGAATAGCGTCCTGTTCGTACTCTAACAATGCGTGTAACACAACCATAACACAACACACCAATTTCCTAGGCATCTTCTACAAAGAAAAATACTTCGAAAAAAGGAGAGTTAATATTACAAATAAAGCGAAGAGGGTAAGCACAAACGAAACTTTACTCAATCACTTGTAATTCCCTGATATGTAGGTACATACTTTAGTCTTCTTCTTCTTTTATTAATGGCATATCTGCGCATTTCACACAATTTTGCCAATGTGAAATGAATAAATTAATTCCAACAAGTAAAATTAATTAAAGATTAATTAAAACTAAGTATCTTTACTCTTTGTTGTAATGACAGTTTCTGTCAGGTGTCATGTCTCCATCTACTGACAGGGGTGAGGGGCGTGTGGAAATGTCATACATCACTGGACCCCTACGCGATTGGTTTCTTGTACGGAGTTGACGGGCCGTGGTACACTGTAAATTGGGAAGTCTAATCGCTGTTAGAGAGTTAGGGTCCCGATTAGGGTTGCCAGATAGTAACTTATCAAATCCGGGACAATTCTACAAAAAAAATGTTGGCTCGTGGTTATAATAGAAAATATCTTAAATATATAGTTTTTCGTATTTGTATTTAAAAGGAAAAATGCCATTTATTTTCAAATGGCATTTTTCCTGCGGGTGGGCGAGTGAAGTAAAACTATTGCACGCACTCACCTCCCGCGCCCGCGCGCCTCCCGCACCCGCTCACTGGCAGCCGTATCATTCGTTGCTAGTTTTTTTGTAAAAAAATAATAAGT